CTTGTCTGTAGAACCTGTGAGAGGAAATTTGAGATTGAGTGGATATTCTGCATGTGGACAAGATGGAGGTGTACAGCTACCTCGTGAATATGTTGAAGGTATGTCATTGTTGTTTCATAACTTTGCTTAGATTCCATTTTCATCTTCATGTTGGCCGCTAAGAGTATTTTCCTGTTAGATTCATTCACAATCTTTATCTATCTTTTCATGCAGACGGTGTTGCCGATGCAGACTTGGTTCTTCTTGTGACTACAAGACCTACAACTGGCAACACTTTGGCATGGGCGGTAGCGTGTGAACGTGATCAATGGGGCCGTGCAATTGCTGGTAATTGCTTGTTGTCCCATCTCTAAAGTGTGGAATATGTTGTTTCTGGGTGCAGTAGAAATCTAAAATCAAAAGCAATGGTATACTTCCGTTTTGTAGGTCACGTGAATGTTGCTCCTCAACATTTAACGGCTGAAGCAAAGACTTTACTTTCAGCTACTCTTATTCATGAGGTTTGATGATGTTAATTGTATGAATTTGGAAGAGTATGAAAAGAAACTGTATGCTCTAAACACCAGTGTTGTTTTAATCCAGGTTATGCATGTCCTTGGCTTTGACCCACATGCTTTTGCTCATTTTAGGGATGAGAGAAAAAGGAGGCGCAGTCAGGTAATTGCATGGCATGTACTGTGAATATGGGCATCAAACCAATTTCATGATAAGTTTTGGATTCTAAAGTAAAAGCTCAAATCTGGTCACTTGTTCGTTGCTTTTGAAATCAGACTTCACATAAACTTTTAATATTTTGTGATTTGGATGCAAACAATTGCTTTTGACACTGAATCTTATGTCTTGTTGCTTTCAATATGAAAATCTTATGTTGCTTGTCTGTCATATCTGTACTTCATGGAAAGGGTTAGAACCTCACTATCCCATGGTTATCACTTTATGCATTTGTAGGTTACTGTACAGACCATAGATGAAAAGCTTGGGAGGATTGTAACTCGTGTGGTGCTTCCACGTGTTGTCATGCATTCACGACATCATTATGGGGTATTGTTAACTTCTTTGATGTGCAGAATTTGCTTTAGATTACTTTAAAAAGTACAATAATAAAATTGAACACGTTGTTGATGATTGTTTAATCGACAGGCGTTCTCAGAAAATTTTACAGGCTTAGAGCTAGAAGATGGGGGAGGACGTGGCACATCAGGTATTCAATTTTGGCAAAGTTGTTATTACCTCTCCCCTCTCAACTTTGAGCCATTGGTTGTGGATTACTCATGGAAGTTATCTCAAAATAGAATACATATATGGTTCTTAACAGAAGATGCAGCTCATTAGCCGTATGGTCCTTAATGTTTTGAGTGATGACTTGGCTGCAGGATCTCACTGGGAAAAACGGCTTTTGATGAATGAAATAATGACGGGATCTGTGGATACAAGATCAGTAGTTTCAAAAATGACTCTGGCATTGTTGGAAGATAGTGGATGGTATCAAGCTAACTATAGCATGGCAGATCGTCTTGATTGGGGTCGTAACCAAGGAACAGATTTTGTTACTTTTCCTTGCAATCTCTGGAAGGGGGCATATCATTGCAATACAACCAATTTGTCTGGCTGTACATATAACAGGGAAGCAGAGGGTTATTGTCCTATTGTAAGTTATAGTGGGGACCTCCCTCAATGGGCTCGGTATTTTCCTCAGGCTAACAAGGGTATGTTCTTGTTTGCAACTTGAATTCCTTATCTATGGGGATTGAAAACCAGTGGATTAACATATGAAAATTTTAAGTTACAATTATAGCCAAACCGTTTTCAGTTTTGGTTCTACATGTTCCTAATGTGATACTTGTGTAATGCATGCAACTTGTCCTTCTGAGTCCATGACCTTTGTTATTGACTTTTACAGGTGGTCAGTCCTCGCTGGCTGATTATTGCACATACTTTGTGGCATACTCTGATGGATCTTGTACGGACATTAATAGTGCAAGGGCCCCAGACAGGATGTTAGGTGAAGTGAGAGGGAGTAACTCGAGGTGAGCTTTGACCCAAAAGATCTTTACTGAGACTCTGTTTAAAGCTTTTCTTTTTAACTTAAATATGATTGGAACTTTTGAGGCAATTGCTGATTAATTATCTTTTAATGATCACATAGGTGCATGGCTTCATCCTTAGTGCGTACGGGTTTTGTGCGGGGTTCTGTGACCCAAGGAAATGGTTGTTACCAGCACAGATGTGTAAATAACTCATTAGAGGTACAGATAGATGTTTGCTAAGCGAAGATTTTTATTTTGCAAAGCAAAGTTTTGCTATGATCTATTTCCTGCATGGACCGACTAACTGAACTAATATACCTTTTGTTTAAAACAGTAAAAGATAAAGCTGGCAATGAATCATTTGAACGTTAAGATCTTTCCCTCCTACACCTTGTAACTAATTTTTTAATAATTGTTCTTTTAGGTTGCTGTGGATGGTATCTGGAAAGTGTGTCCTAAATCTGGTGGACCAGTTCAGTTCCCTGGTTTTAATGGTAATTTCAATCAACTGACTTTCAAGTCGATAAAATTTATCTATTTGCACTAATTTCTTTTGATGTTTTATCTGCAGGTGAACTGATTTGTCCTGCTTACCACGAACTCTGTAGCACTGCCTCTGTTTCTCTGTCTGGCCAATGTGCAAATTCTTGCAATTTTAACGGTGATTGTGTCAATGGGAAGTGTCATTGCTTTCTGGGATTTCATGCTCACGATTGTAGTAAAAGTGAGTTCCACACTCCTCAGTTTCATTATTTAGTTTAGATAAAGCATGGTATGTTGAGACTCTTCCAAGTTAATCCTGTTAAATAAATTGATGTTATTTTTCTGGCCTCTGTGTTATATAATTTTCAGGATCTTGCCCCAGCAATTGCAATGGACGTGGAAAGTGCCTTGCAAATGGGGTCTGTGAATGTGATAGCGGTCATGCCGGCATTGACTGCTCCACCGGTAATGCGTTGTTTAACTATAGATACTCGTTTTATATCCTTTTTAGTTGTTTTTTAATCTTATTTGTGGATGAAAAGTCGGGGGGCTTCTATATTGGTAACACCTTTTCTGGCATTGTTAAGCACAAACATGATCTTTTTATTATTCCCTCTTTTTTCAAGAGAAACAAAATGAAACATTGGGTGATATTTAAATATACTAAGACATTCAGTGATGCCTCTCAAGGTTTTCATTTCATTATTGAAGCCATTTCATGCTGTGTATGTTAGGATAAAATGCAGTCAAGTGGTGCCATATTTTGTGTTTCCTCGTTCTTAACCATTTTACTTGGAATTATATGCCAGCTGTTTGCGATGAACAATGCAGCCTCCACGGCGGTGTCTGTGACAATGGAGTTTGTGAGTTCCGCTGCTCTGACTATGCAGGCTACACATGCCAGAATAGCTCTACACTCCTCTCTAGTCTTTCAGTATGCAAGGATGTGTTGGAGAGGGAGTTGTCTGGGCAACATTGTGCACCTAGCGAGGCAAGTCTATTACAGCAGCTAGAAGAAGTTGTTGTCATGCCCAATTATCACCGCCTATTCCCAAGCGGTGCGCAGAAGCTGTTTAATAATGTATTCGGGAGCAGCTACTGTGATGCAGCTGCCAAGCGACTGGCCTGCTGGGTAAAGTAGCTCACCCCAGCAATTCTATTTCCAATAATTTGTTTTTCATTATTTATCGTTGTTACTTATTCCTGCCCTTACCAGATTTCAATCCAAAAATGTGATAACGACTGGGATAACAGACTGCGGGTATGCCATTCGGCATGTCAGTCATATAATCTAGCATGCGGAGCATCACTAGACTGCTCGGACCAAACTCTTTTTAGTAGCAAAGAGGAAGGTGAAGGCCAATGCACGGGCTTTGGCGAGACAAAGGTTTCCTGGTATAATCGCTTTCGATCTAGTTTCTTTTCGAGAAATACAGCTACAAAAGGATTGTCTGTAAAATATAGGAAGTATTAGCATCATCCGCAGCTGCCCTTTCCCCCCCTCCTTTTCTAGGGTTCCAGAGTAGGAAAGTTGGCACTTAAGGCAGTGCCCTAGGTATAGAGTTTTGCCCCAAATTCAATTTAGAAAACTGGGGCATGATTAGGTTTCCCAATTACAAAGCCTCATGTCGAGAAAATTGAAAAAAAATGTAAAAAAAAAAACAAAGAAGCTCTGTTGAGCCAGTGTTCCATGTTTGGCCGAAGGCCTTGAAAGGAAAGGAAAGGCGAAGCCCCATGTTTTTTTTCTGTATCTATTCATGCTTCGCCTCTTTAATGGTTAATGGCAATACTTTTTCATGCTCGTCTTTGTATATTTTAACCATGTAGCATGGACAAAATTTTCATATTTTCGACATTTTTGGGACCAACAAAACACCATTTGGTTGCAACAGTAGGCAAGTTTAGTGTAATATAAAACTTCCAACAGGTGAAAGATGGGTTTGAAGATCATTTAGCATATCCAACAAGCGACGACATGCTTCGTATAACACTCTTCCTTTATCCTGTCATTGCCGAATGTATTCGAAGAATTCGATACTGCACGTTTAGAGCCTTCTGAAACTGTATTTTACTTGTTAGATTAGGCGTGTTTGCAAGTTTTGTGGAAAGACTATTAATGATTTCCATATTTGCTAGGAGTTTCTAATGTGCGATTCCTAATGTTTTCACTTATTACTGTTGTTTTAGCTGCTTCTAAATGAAGTTGTTATTGGTATGAATACTTGGCTTGATTTTGCTCTAATGATTTGGTTGCATTAGGCATGTAGGTCGACTCCCAAGGCTTAAGATTTTATCATTACAAACTTACATCACTTTTAAAAGAGTGATCAAAGCTAATAATCTCAAAGCCTATACAGAAACCATCTTTATTACTTCCTCTGGACCCTCTGGCCATGAAATCCTTGTGGTAAACAAAAATATCTTCTCAATCTTATGGTAAATCAAATGATCACTAGAATTTACACTCGAGCTTGAAAAAATTGTCAATTGTTAAAATTTGTTTATAGCAGCCGTGATAAACCAATAAAAAAAGGCGGGTGAAATCACAACAGCAAAGATAACAAAGCCCTTCATTGAAGACTTACTAGGTCTTGGACTTTTTTCTATTAAAAAACATGAATATCTTTGGGAAGATTGTCTTTTTCTTTTTCTTTGGCTTTGGTTCTGGTGCTGGTTCAGTTAATTTATTCTTTGTTTTGGCCGGAGGATCAGCAGGTGGACTTGCAGGCTCGATGTTGTTCGTTTCTTTATATTCCTCCAAACTTATGCTTGGAGCGTGTTGTCCATGGTTCGATTCAGTAGCCATTCGTTGTTGCTCATGTTTAGCCCTCCAATTTCTCAACTCCTGCTCCACTCTTAACTTACCTTGTTTGGCCTTCTGAGCCCTTTCCATAGCAATTCTTTGTAATTCCTTTCTTTCATACATCTCTTTGTTTACTTCTTCCAGCTTTCCCAAGCTTTTTGACTGGGACTGGTTAGCTACCTCAATTCGAGACTTAACAGCTGCCATCCTCGTGTTGATTTGTGCCTCTAACTCATATGCACGTTTGTTGAGGTCATAGTACTCCTCTACGGACAGTGTTACACCACTGGATGAATCGACATTATTGGTGTTATGTGCTGATTCACTCGCTTGCAGTGCTTTGATGGCAGCTAAAGCTAGCTTCTCTGAAACCTTGGCAGCTTCAGTTTCCTTTTGTGTCACAAGTAATCTACTCTCTATGCTACTTGCTCCAGCTTTTGCCTGCTCTGCTTCTTCCTTTGCTTTGCAGAGCTCTTCACGAGCCATTTGAGCAAATGACTTGGCCTTCTCAGCCTCTTGGGCTGCTTGCTGCAGTTCTTTGGGCAGCTCTGTCATCTTCTCTGGCTGGACTACGGTGGCTTCTGACTGAGTTTTTTCCAACTTAGGCTTCTCCTTTTCAAGCTCTGATTTTAATGAATGAACAGTCGCCTTCAACGAATCCACTTCCGCATATGCTTTTTCTATATTGTGCTTCATCTCTTTAAGTTCCTTCTTTGCTGAAGTAATTGCTGCTTGCATATCAGTGTGAGGTCTTCCCTCTGATTTCTCTGGCTCATCGTTGGAGTCTCTATCAGTTGTCTGCTTAAATTTACATGCCCTATAAGCAGCTAGTTCAGCTTTCAAATCAAGTAGCAAAGCTGAAGAAGTGTCCATCTTTGATTTCAGCTCTTTTGTATAATTCACTTGTTGATTGATTCTCTGAAGTTCTTCTTCACCCAGTTTTAGATCCTTCTTCCATTGGAGTGTATATTGGTCTCGGGCCACGGCTACTGTAATCCTTCTCTCTTCTGCCTCCAAATGGGCAGCATGTGCAGATTCTAAGGATTCCTTTGTGGTAATGAGTTCAATGGTAAAATCTTCCACCATCTTCTCGACCTCTTTCGACGCTGAAACAGCTTTTTCAGCTTTCTTAACAGCTATATCTCTCTCTATCATCAACGAATCGTATTCCTTTCGTATCGCTTCCAGGTCATTAATAACAGTTTTGAGCTCCGAAACTGCAGCTTCATGCCTGGATTTAGCAACCTCGAGCTGTGCTTTCGCTGCAACGCTAGCCTCATTAGCAATTCCTTGCTCCATCTCCTCCATCCTGAGCTTTGCAAGCTCAGAATCTTGTTTTGCCTGATTTTCTTCAGTTTGTGCTCTCTCCAGGCCTATCTTCATCTCTTCTATCAACCTCTTTGTGTTGTCCAGCTCCTTTAATGCTTTAATCTTTGCCTCTTCTACTTCCTCTGAATGTTTCTTGTATTCAGGCAACTCCTCGTGTATTTTATCAAGTTCTTGCTCTACAAGCTTGCGTCTCTGTACCCAAAAAGGAACTTTATGTTGCATGTACAAGTTACAATGGCCATTAAAGATAGAGAAAAGATTTCATGATAAACAGCATTCATGATTCACCATGTATGATATATCAAACTTACCTCAATGCTTTGCACTTTATGAGCTTTCCAATCAACAATTGATCCAAACTTGGAAACAGCTTCCTTAACAGATTCGAAAGGTGCAGCTGTATCGATATGAATTCTTCCGTTGAAAGAACCTTCCTTAATGAATCTTGGGGACTCAACCGAAGAATTGATGATCCTTTGATGAGGCAACATAAGATTGAATTTAGCTACATGATCCATGTTTTTAGCATCTAATGGTTCGGCCTGATTAGAGTGATCAGCATTGGGAGAAGATAGAACAATGCCACCAAGAAGAGCATGTGAGCTGAAAAGAGAATCATCACCTCGACTCCTTTTTCCATCCGAAGTATCTTGTAATGATCTGATGTTAATGGCGTTGGCCGGAAGATGGGGTTCAGTAGGACCGGTGGTTGGTTGCATGTGGTGATTACTTTGAGATTGGTTCTTATCAGAAGGCAAAATTATGTTATTGTCACCATTGACAACATAATTGGCATCTTCAGATTTTTGTCTACATCCAACAGCAACACGAGGTAAAGAGAGTTCACTGGGTGATACCAGAAGCTCAGTTTCACAAGTCTCGACCATCGGATCGGAAGCACGAGGAGCGATTACGTTCTCGATATGACTAGGTGAAATTGCAGGAGAAATAGTATTTTGAGATAGCTTTTCATTGGGACTATGTATTCCTTGAGTAGTAGAATCTTCCATCAGTGTACCCTGGTGATCCGTTTGAGTTTGATCAATGCCAACTGACAAATTTGAAGCTGAATTATCTGTTACATGGTTTTCTGGCCTTGTAATTGGGGCATCAAAAGCATTTTCTGGAAAGGAGGGTTTAGAAATTTCCATTACTGACAATTGACTCAGGTTGTTTGTTCCATTATTAATTGGAACTGTTGGACCTTTAGCCAAATATGGTCAGTATTTAGCGAGGATGAAGAAGAAGATTCTGAATGAGTTATCTCTTCTACTTCTACATTCTCCTTGTGAGAAAATGGCAAGGAGACCTACCAAGGCGTCTGAAACCAAGAAAACAGAAACCTTGTAAGGGACAAAGTTCAAAGAGAGGATATCACAAGAAATCAACAGACATTTCAACGATAGGATGGACCGAAGTGGTTATCTGGGCGTTGTTCCGTGAAAATTTCAAATTTTATATAATATACATATATTTTCTATTCATAATATGTTTTCAGCCTCTAAAATTCTATAAATTGATCTTATAAAATTTTATAAATTCAGACCTCTAATATAAAATTCTGTATTTGTCCCTGAATTTTCAAAGAACATAATGGAGGCAGATATTTAACAACTAATCAAATTTAATTTCATGCAAAAGCTCCCTTTTAGGGCTAACTTTTCAAAATTTTCAATAAAATGGAAACTAAATCAAGGAAATTAAGCTTGAGTACTTAACGTTATAATGAACTGATCCATCCCAATGTGCAGCAATTTTTAAAACCTCGGAGCTTCATTTCCATGGCTAAATAACAGAAGGCACACGGTTTGCTGCTTAATTCATAATTAAAGCATTAATTAGACATATATTAATGGAAATCTATTAGCAAATTTCACTTTTTTTCCCCTAGGAAAATAACTTACCTGGATCAACCAAAAACAATGAGACCAAGATAGGAAAAGAAGCAAATGTTAATGATCCCTGGAAATTTAAGGGCGGAGAAATTAAGTAATTAATAATACAAAATGAAATTAAATGTAAGGGTGGAGAAATTTTACAGCTAAAATTAGAACAAACAAGTAGCAGACAAAAACGGAGAGAACACATCGCTTTCCTCGTTTAGATATAATCACCGGTAAGTACGCCAAGCGTATCTTAAAATAAGTTTTTTACAAAAGCACTAAAACCTGAAATATGAACACTTTTTTTTTTGGACAGGAAAATTTCATTTCATCTATTCAAACTTAATTTGAATTAATGTTAAATAATCTGACTTGGTTAATACTTTAGCCACTAAAAAATTAGTAGCAGTGTATTACTTGAAAGAACACACAAAAAAGTGATACTGTAACAAGCATCATTACGAGTTTATGGTATTTTCCCATGAAAAGGCCACTAAATCTTCAAACAATTGGTGTACGTAAATGTGACATAAGAAATGTCACTAAATCCAAAGCTAACAGTGGCATTTTCATGAAGAAAACGTCACCGAATGTTGGTTGTTTCTATTGCGATTTATTGGAAAACGCCACTATTTGTAGTCGATGGTGTGGCGTAGATGGTTTTGGGGTTGGCTTTAGATTATTGAAAGTTATATGTGGCGAACATTTCGAGTTTGATTCAAAATAAATACCAAGAATTAATATAGAGTATTCACTAGTTCATTTTTAAGACTTGGTGGCATGAAGATAATATAGAAATTGAGTCTCTAACAAGAAGTATTTAGAAAAATTGAATAGTAAGAGTAAGTAAAAATAAATTAATTTGTTTACAAATTGTATTTTTATTACGTTTAACAAATTATCTAATAAATACATTAAACTTCGAATAAAACCCATCAAATTTTTTTATTAAACACTCGGTTACTTATACAAAACAAGCATGACCCTCATTTTAAGAGGCTTAAGGTTCAATTTTAGTCACCTTCTTCTTGTAAAAAAGAGAATAATTACGTAAAATTTAAAAAAAATTAAAAATGTAACGTAAGTATCATCATTAATATTTTAATGACAAGGCTAAAATAGAAAGAAAACGTAATGTTAGGTATGATTTTGAAAAAATAATAATTTGATGACCGAAATGTAAATAAAATAATAAGTAGATGACAACATAGATAATTTACTCTTCTTAATTATACATGAATTTCTTAATTTGGACCCAGGGTAGGTGCCCTCCTGCCCAAGCTCAACTACGTCTCTTTGAATTGATGTCGAGTGGAATTTTACACCGCCATCAATTTTGCATGTACAACTTGTTACATGGTACATGTTCTTTATGGGCCACATCAAAATTTAGGTTTAGATTTAACTAAAATCGAAGGTCAATCGAAGATTCGAAGTACTAAGTGAAAAAGTTAGCATTCAAAACTTCAATAATTTTATATTTTTACGAAAGTTAAATATTCATTTAAGTTTTTAACAACTATAATTTTTATATAATATCTGTTGGAGTATTATTGAATTGGTTGAGAATCACTTCATCTACAATTGATAATTCATTGCAGCAAAACTCTTTTTACATGCCTCCAATATACGTAACAAAATTTGCAATGATAAATTCTTTCAAAACTGCACAACTCCAATCATAATTTTGAACCAATTTGTTAGAAATTTGAAAGCGAAAAAATAACTAAAACGATATCAACATGAAATAAGACACGTGCAAAAGACATAATTTAATGTGGTTCAATCTTGTCTACCTTCACGGATGATAAAAACAATAATTCACTATAAATGTTGATATCAATGAGAGTACAAATACATTATATCTCATGCATCACAAAACTCGGTATCTATATTAAAACTCTTTTCTTTTCAAAACACTATTCCAATATTGTACAAAACTCATCTCTGCAACGTAAACCACAAAAGTTATCGAAACTATAAAAAGTATAATATCTCTCCAAAATAATTATCTCTTATAATTCTAAAGATCAATAAACTCTTTGTTTATAAAGTCAAATACTTGATCAGCAAGATTCCTTAAATTATAATAATTATTATCTAAACAAGCTTAATCTCCAAATAATCTTCAATTACTAGATTACAATAAAATTCAACTTAATTTTTAATTAGAATTTGAGTCAATATCTAATAATAAAATAATTACATCTCTAATTTTGTCTCATAATTCTAAAGACTCGGACATACTCTCTATTTATAGATTCAAATAATTGGTAATAAGAATCCTTTATTCATAAGAATTCATACCTAAACAGATTTAATTATCAAATAATCCTGAATAATTGAAAGAATCCAATATGATTAATGATTATTGATCTTTATGCATTTAAATAAGCACGAGGGCGGTGTGCCAAACTTGTTCAAATCGAATTATGTAAATTAACATGTCAATTTAAAGATATTAATTATGTTAAATATCATTTTGTATAATTGATAATCGCATTACTTTATGGTAAATAAGTTATATTCATAAATATGTATTTGAAGATACTAAAGTCTATAATAATAAAAGTGCATATATTTGTCCAATGATTAAGGTTTTCTTTAAAGCAAATATATAACATAATATAAAAACGAACCCTTTATAAATGAGATAGTTAATTGGAGATTCAATTATGTTAAACCTATTATTATATGCATTCGAAAATACTGCTTCGACATTGTAGGTTAACCTCCGAATACATTTATATCTTTTTTCCTTTTAATGTTTATTAGACTAACAATTAACGGACATAATAACGACCGATAAATACGAGTTACTCAACCATTTAAATCTCATACAATAGAGCAGATAAGTGACAAATGAACAAGACAATTAAGATAAAATCTTGTAATGATCTTTTCACCACGTATCAATAGTTGTCACCCTTAGTGTTCCTATCCATAGTTATCATGTGACATCAAAAACAAATGATAGTAGAATGAGGTATTAGATTTTTTTTAAATAATGTTAGGAATTCAAATATTTGTGTGTTTATGAATAGAGTAAATTGGCCCATAATAAATTTTTTTATAAAATTCGATCTGAATTAGTCCTTCAATAAATTAAATATCAATCATTAGTTCAGAAAAAGAAGAAGAGAAAAACATGTCTAAGGGAGTGATCTCCCCGGACGTAATTAGAAAATATGGAAAAAATCTCAACTACGAAGAGTGATGCCAACAAGATGAGTGAATATTCATCGATCTTTTGTAATTAAAATTTTCACTAATATCACAATCGAAGGAATCTTAATGAAATTATTTTATTATAATAAATAATTATTTAAGCGACATGTAAAGGTTTGAAATTTTATCTGGGTTAAGTTTGCAATTATCTTTTTGTATATTTCATTTTAAAGAAGATAAAATAATTTAGATTTTGTATAAAATTTTCAAATATGAAAAATATGATTTATATGATTTAAAATTAAGTTACTTTGATGATTGAATATGACATTCACAATTTTGTTAGAGATTTAAAATTCAATTTAAGATGTTATAGTTTAATTTTTTTTATAAAATATCTTTAAAAACAGTATTTAGTGTAGGTCAGTAATAAGTTCAATTTCAAACCTTGGTTAAACTCATCATTACAAACAAAAAGTATCGTTTTCCCAAAAAGAAAAGTATTGACGTTCAGTATTTTACGATGTGTATCTTTCATTTCATTAAAAATTACTTTGAAAAAAAAGTTACATTAAGAGTTATATGCAGGAATTTAAATCGCAGACACAGTCGTATTTTGGTCATGTCATATTTACTGTGATTGCAGTAAAGTGGGAGCTATTACAGGTATGACGAGTATATTGGAAGATAACGTTACTATTATTTCGTGGACACTATTACAGTCGCATAATGCTATTTAAAACCCGGGTTATACGTGTAAACCTCAATTTACATCCTTTTTCAACGAACACTTTCTTGTCAAAAGTTTCTGTAGGCTTTCTGCTTACTCTTCTCCTTTGAATCTACCGTTCATGTTGCAAAATTAAAACAAGGTTCCTTCAAGATTAGTAAAGATGACGAGTCAAGAGTCTGAAAGGCCAAAAGTGATCGATCAAGAATCCATTCAAAAGATTGCACAACAAGTGTTCATCTGTTGCCTTTTCTTCAAGATTCGATTTGTGTATATATATCAAATAAATCCAACAGCAGAAATGAAAGCAGTGAAATCAAACGGTACCAACACAAATCTTTTCTAAATTCCACGTTCCGTCTGTTTTAGATAAGTTTCGCCTTTGATTTAATACAGAAATTAAGTTATATATAATCTCAGTTAAATAGAACTACAGCAAAGCAAAGAAGCCATTCTCCTACACAACTCCCCCCCCCCCCCCAAAAAAAATATGTTTTGTTTTAGAGACTCGCTCCAGGATATCCCCAGTACTTGCCAAAGGAAAACGGGAGGCCCCGTCCCTGTAACCGAGGCTCAACTGAAAGCCATATTCAAGCAATGTGACACTAACAGAGATGGTCGTCTCAGCAAACAAGAGCTGAAGAAATTTTTCGCTAGCTTACGCTCTCATCTTCCTGGTTGGCGAGCCGGCCGAGTGCTTCGTCATGCCGATGGCAACGAAGATGGATATGTAAGCGAGGACGAGTTGGATGGTCTCATTAAATACGCCTTGAGATGTGGTTATACTCGTGTCGTTAAGTAACATGGAAGAATCCCCTAGGTTTTCTCATCATCTACAAGGAATTCTACCCTCTTTTTGTTTTCTTAAGATCTTTCACTTTTGCTTGCTTTAAGATCTTGTTTTATATGTGTAGCTGCAATATGCAGAGATGAAAATAGAAGAGTAGGCTCTTATGCACGTGTTTTGCTGTATATATAATTAAGTCAATGTAGTAGTTTCATGTATATATAATCGTTACCTCATCCATGGTGTGAAGCCTTCATTAATACAACTTTCCACATCTGAGGTAACTTCTAAGGGGTTAGCCTGTGACATTTCTAAGCCAAGAGTTCGACTACCAATTCTCTTTTATCGAGTATTTCAGTTGCTCTCCTTTTCAGGAAGATGACAGTTCCACATATAGAATAGTAAGCCCCCACTCATCAATCTCATAGAACCAGAAGAAGGGCAAAAAGCAGATAGTGAGGAGGGTTGAACCCAAAAACAAAGCGAGAACACAGAAGATAATAGAAAAAAAATGCATTCAAAATAGACAGGCAACGAACTCCACCTGCAGATCTCAATATGGCAGTTCAACATCCATTTAAGTCTATAAAATTTACACGTTCACATATGAAAAACAACAAAGAAATCAGCGAGACATTCAGGTAACTGCAAAGAGACCTAGCTAATGGAAGTTTATTCAAGCAGCTGGTTGTGTTAATAGTTTTATAGCCAAATTCAATAATATAATTTTACCATCTTTATTTTGCAGTTAAGAAGTTTACTGTGTATATCTCCAAGTGCGAAAACATTTCTAAGGAATTATAACAAAATATGAAGGGACCAAAGTTTCAAAACCAACAAGAAATCGAGAAAAATAAATGAGAAACAGGACACAAATCTCTTTTCGAAGCACAATAATCATTCTCATTCACATTGATTCAAACATCCATGCCTATCAAGAGCAGAATAAGAAACGGTAATTCTTGAATCATGATTAGAGCCATTAGAGAGTGAAACAACAGAAAAAGCATAATCATTTCAAGATAGCACATCAAGAAGCAGGATACATAAACTAAAATAAACATAAAATCATCAAACAACATGCATAAAAGTAAATTCTAAATTCAAGTTCCAACATTCTCAAGGATGTTTTAACATTGTATGACAAGGAAAAAGTTCAATATTACAAGACAAGACACAGGTTAACCAGGATTCATGCAAAGCATATACCATATAAACAATGACTAATGCAATAAGCTAGCCAAATAGGCACAAATGATATAAATTAACCATTTACCACAGGGTGGCTAACTTATACCAATGAGATATTCAATGCTAGCTAAGGATCAATTTATTTAAAGAGTACTAAACCAAACAAGAATTAGGGTTTTCAACTCTAACACCTCTCTAGTTATTCTTCTTATCTAATTTTTTCTCCTTTCAAATTAGGGTTTTCAAATTATGGATTTATGTTTTTCTTTAAATAGAAGTCAAAGGTTTGATTAACCGAGGTCCGACATGTCCAAATAGTGCCAAGTAAGTCAAACAAACGTGTCACATTAACCTTTCATGAGTGGGGTGATGACCGTTAACGACTGAGTGACAAATTTATTATAAAACATAATGCTACTGACAGTTTTGTTATTTTTAAAACTTCAGTGCTAAAACAAAAAACTTACTTATATTTCAATGACCATTTATATAGTTTAAAAATAAATAAACTTTTACAATGACTTTCATACTTATTTTTTTTTTAAAATGAGGAGAACATATAAAATCCGGATATAAGATAATATATGTATCTAATGTTAAATTTAGTCAAGTTCACACAAAATAAATCTACTTGAATTTGGGTCAGTATTAATATTTTTTTTAATTAAAACCTTTTAAGTGATCTTATGTTTAGTAATGAGATTAGGGTTTTATTTTAAATGACTTTATTTTAAATCTGTATATTTAGTCAGCGTCGTTGTCGATTAGAGATGAGGAAAAGTCAGCGATATGGCGTCCTCCTACTTCTGGAAAAGTGAAATTTAACACGGATGGACCTGTCCTTGGCTCCCTCGGTCAAGCTTGAATCGATGGTATGTTAAGGGATCATTCAAGTATTGCAGTTGTTGAATTCTCCAAGTCTATTGGTTGCTCAGATCCTGCCTCAGTTCAATTGTTAGCTATTAAGATCTTTGATATCTTTTGTGGAATAAGTAGCCCCATCTTGTGGAATCGGATTTACAGAATGTGGTCTGCTGGTTAAAGAGTGCTCATAATTTTTCGACTGAGTTTAAAGACCTGGTATCTGAATGCATTCGGATAGGCAGTAAGTTCAGCTGAAAATTTGCTCATATTGATAGAATTCAGAATTGCAAGACAGACAGTCTCGCTAAATCTGGCATCAATCGCAGTGGGGATATGCTCAAGTTCAGACCTTCTATTGGTTTGTGTTAAATGCGGGTTGGATTCAAAATTCGTTAGTTTGTGTCTATGGATGTATTTGATGGTTCCTTTTTATAGGTGGGTGTGCTTTTGATCTCGTAAATAAACGGAAGGTTTTCAGCTTGCTCAATCGTATACGTATTAAGATGGTTTGCAATGGACATAAGCTCCTTGTACTCTTTTTCTTTCACCTAGGATTAGGATAATGAGGCCATAACTTATCATTACCCACTGAAATAAAACTTTCATACCTTTCAATAAAAAAAGTGAGTTTTAATGTTTTTTAAAGACAAAAACATTCGTTGTCTTTAGAAAAAACAAATTACAATCTGTTCATTTAATTTGAAATTAAAAAGAGTTTGATTAAATATTTTATTATTATTATAGTTTTCAAGAATTTTGTTCTGACTAATTTGGATCAACCCGTTTTAAACATTTGATTTTAATGAATAAATCTTCTAATAAAAATTTTCTACATACATAATACATCGAATTCAAAATCGGTTTGACCAAAAATATTATAAAACAGTTTTTGTATTTAACCAGGAGAATCGAGACATTATCAATCTTATATATTTTTGGAGCAGGCCATGTGGTTCTCATTGGAAGAACACCGAATCCCTTTTTTCGCAATGTTAAAAAGTGATAGAATCATATTCACTTGTGAGCTATGCTAGTCACTCACACGTTAACATCTTACGTCAATGAATTATATGTAACAAAATTGCCCCATATTTTTCTTTTTCACGCTAAATAATAAATACCCTTCTGTATTGTAATTTCAAAGTTAAAAAAATCACTCAATTTGTAATTTCAAAAACTTGATTTAATTTTAAAAAAATAATTAAAGTCGAATTATAAAATAAAATTTGGATAGTTCATAAATTTTAAAACTAGTTTTGATTGATTTTAGAATTTGAGTTGAGTCTTTCAACTTTGCATATAAAAAAAACATTCATGTATACAGTATATGATTATAACAAATTATTTAAATTAGAATTAAATAGTATCATATCATTATAAGAATTTATAATTAAATTTAAACATAAATTCAAATAATTCGACTCAATTTTTTAAACTCGATTTGACTCGAAAATTTTTCAAATTCTTTCTATTTCTTGAAATTTTGGGTGTTAACCAATTTCTTTTAAAAATGAAACAGTGGGGAAGTCCATTAAATTTAGATATAATAGATAAAATGTTTAAAATAACTTAAGAGAAACAGTAAAAAATTATAGGTATTTGATATGGATATAGAATATTAATATCCCGAAAGAACCCAATCAACTTTTAGAGTTTATGCTATGTTTCTTTCAAGGCCTTTCATTTCATTAATAACTTATTTTTTCATCGAATTTAATACTAATAGATGAACTCATCAAGTTATTTTAGATAATATTATTATTTTTAACAATTTACGTTTGAATAACTGCATCTATAATATATATATATATATATAGCTAATGATTAATTTTTAATATATAATACGTAATTATGAAACTATTTAAAAAAGAAAAGTTAATACTAAGAGATAAAATGTGTCTTCAACTATGCTTAATCTACATCCTTTTTCCAATTTCTAAAAGAAATTCGTAGGCTTTCGGCTTCTTCTGCTTTTAATTAAAAGTAACTAATGACGGTGTTTATCAATTTAAAATTTTAATATTATTACCAAAAGTAAAAAATCAAATTATATAAAATTAAAAATATAAATAAAATATTAGATTTTAGTATAATAGAGAGATTATGATCAACCCTAGACAATTTCTGTGAATATTATATGCTCAATAAATCAAAAGAATACGTACAAAATGTGGATAAGCATATAAAAAGTAGTAGGAAAGACCGACTAAGAAAGTGCAACCATTGTTATAAACCAAAATATAGTGAAACTATCGAAGTCCAGAAATAACTATTTATGAGCCTACCATAAAACAAAATTCCTGATAAGTAGGAATAAAATGCATGATTGAATGCTCCCCATAGTTGAACCAAATAAAATACAAAAGTTACCGATTATATAATTATAAATTTAATCTCATTACACTAATTTAACATTAAACTGAAAAAGTAAGTATTCTCTCAAACCTAGCGTCGCTTGCTACTTGTTTTCATCTTCGATTGACCAATGAGTACCAGTTTTAGTATTGGTTGTTGTTTTTCAATATTTTTTCTTTTTTCTGTCTTTTGGCATTTTTTTTATTTTTTATCGATCGTTTATTCATTTTTTTATTTATTTTTTTCATGGTTGGATTTGACATCTCTACGAATGATCAAGATAATGCTTATTTAATATTATTATATAATCCTTGTATGATATCAAGTGGCTAGTTTTCTTGTGTTAATAATTATAGAAAAATATTCTAATTATGTATTTAGTTCATGAATATGATTATAAATTCTTATTATAATTTTGGATATTTTTTATTTTTAATAAAATGAGTTGTTTGTTTTTAAAAAATAATAATATTTTTACCGGCTTAACTCTTTGTTGCATTACATTTTCAGGGCCGTTTCAGACATTATCGGGTTCCTGAGTGAAATTTAAAAATAAGTCTTTATAAAATGAAAATATAATTTATTACTTTGGTCAATTAATTTAATATTATATTAATAAATCGTAGAAAAATGATTAAAAGTGAGATTAAAGAAACCAGGGGCCTCAATTATAAAGATAGAAAGTGAGATTGAAAAAAAGGGTCTCAATTATAAAGATAAAAAGTGAGATTAAAAAAATTAAAACATCAATTGTAAAGGTAAAAAGTGGGATTGAAAAAAGAGGGGTTTAATTATAAAGGTAAAATGTGAGATTACAAAATTAAGGGTCTCAATTATAAAGGTAAAAATTGTGATTGAAAAAAAATAGAGGCTCAATTATAAAGGTAAATTGTGAGATTACAAAAATTAGGGGCCTCCATTATAAAGGTAAACAATGAAATTGAAAGAAATAAGAGCTCGGTTATAAAGGTAAAATGTGAGATTACAAAAATGAAGGGCTCAATTATAAAAGTAAAATGTTAGATTGAAAAAAAATTAAAAACTTTAATTATAATGATAAAAGTAGATTAAAAACTTTAAAAACTTTTTTTTTGAAAGGTGATTTATCTGATTTTGTAATAATAGCTAAATAAACATTCAACAACGAAACGATACGTGCCTCTTAAAAAACCTTCCTAAGCCTAGAAGAAGGAAAAAGAGTGTATCTTATCGTTGCCAAACTTACAACAAGCGATTAGACAACACACAAAATCCAAAGCCTAGAGAGCAAAACCAACAAACAGGGAAGGATTTGCACACAAATTCTACCCACCTGAGACCACTAAAGCAACCTGTTCCAGCTTACAACACCAAAAACAATATTAAACCATCACAAATAAGTTACCACCAAGCTCCAAAACACAAGCGACAAGGAGCAATAACGCACACCAAAAAAACGCTAGAATCCAGACTAACAGATGACCAACTAACGATCAGCATCAGCTAACAATCCAAGTCTAAATACACTAAAAGCAGAAGCGGAAATAAACAAAGCAAAGGGAGAGATGGAAGAACACAAAAGCAAGCTACCGGATAACAGCAATCCACATAGACCGAAGGCCAAGGCAAGAATAGCTAGAAATGCTTGGACCACCACGAGCCAAACAACCGATATCCGAAACCCCTCACAAAAAAGATAACGAACAGCCGACCCAAAGGATAAACAGCAGAACAGCTCCCTCATGTGCCAAAGGCTTAAATAAGAAACTCAAGCGTTAATCCTTTAGCTGTGAGACTAATGTTAAACTTTCAACTTAATCTAACAATAAGGCAAATATATATTAAGAGGGTATTCTCACTAACAGTAAAGTATTATTACCTGACTTTTTTTTTAAGTCAATCATGAAGACCGTGCATGCTCCAAGTTTTCTCCAACACTAACAGTTGTCTGAAACTTTCTGTATTCTAAGCCTTTTTGTCCTGCAAAAAAAGGAGAAAATAAATCATGATTAACTAACAATAACACTATGATGCTTATTGGAAATCATAAAAGACCCAAAAGTAACTTTTTTACAAGGCCAAGTATTACATGTGCATTTAGTATCAAAGACAGTCTGCTAATTGAGTCAAATATATTTTACTCACCATAACTCAAAAACAAAGCCCAAATTGGTATCTCCTCTATTATATATCAGATAAGATCCAAGTTTAACCAAATCAATGAGCTTCGGTTTGCACCAAAAGCACGTTAAAGACACAGACATTGCTGGCCAATAAAGCAGGAAAAAATACATTCAAAGCCTTCAAATCACAAAATAGAAACAAAATCCACCAAAGAGCAAGACACATAAAAAGCCACCACCTCATGATATTACCTAACTAATCAAGCTCTACGAATCAATCACAAAAACGAGAGCAAACAAGAGCTCGAAGATCGAAATATGATTTTAAAAAATATCCAAAAAAATCATTAAAAACGAATGAAAAACATATACGTCAATAACCGATGAAAATAGAAACTAGAAAAAAAATTGAAGGCATAAAATTAAAAAAAATAGTGGAAAAACCAGTGGATGAGATAAGATGCCAGGATGGTAAAGAGACTGTTGTTGAAGAAGAGCTTGTTGCATCAAGGTTTGTTGTTTTTGCTTCATCCTCTGGTGCTGCATTTTCTTTCTTTTTCTTGGTGATTGACTTGGGGATAATTAATCGAGGCGTTTGGTTTTCCTTTTACTTTTCTCGAGCTAGGGTTCAAAGTACAGGAGGCCTCCAGAAATTGAGAGAAAGAAAAAGGGGAAAAAAACTGGAAAAGAGAAGAGCCCCCTAAAGATAGAGGAAGAGAAAGCGAGTGACTCCAAATAGTATCTATAGCGGGATTATTATTGAGGGAAAGGGAATGGATAAAGTTGCTTTATATTTCTTGTTAGACAATTATGGCGTTTATACACAAACGTCACTATATCTCAATCTATAGTTCCGTTCCTTGTAACTTTATTCGTCTGTTGCGGTATTCTTTTAAAAACGCTGTATATCAGTCTATAGCGGGTTTGTTAAATACGTCACTAAAGTAATTGTCTATAGTGATATTTGACCAAAAACGTCACTGTATATCAGTCCATAGCAGCATTTTTTACTCAAACGGCATTCAAATACGCATTTGTAGAGGTGTTTTCTTAAAAACGGCATTGTATATCAGTTTATCGTGGCGTTTGTTTTAAACCCGCTATATGTACAAAACCGCAGTTACAAACCTATTTGGCTGTAGTAATGTGAGATATAAATTTGGTGAAAGGTTTATATGTTAGCCTTTTTCTTCACTTATATCAAGTAATATGTGATGAAACCCATGCACATATGTAGGGTGTAAAATTTTCAAGCTCGACTCGAACTCAAATCCTGAACTGAAGTTCGTGCGCAGCTCGAAATGAAAAAAAATCTTAAACTTAACTCGATTGAAGCCTCAAACTCGAACTCTAACATGAACCTTAAATACATGAAATCTTACAGTATTTTTTTAAAAAAATCAGTACATAAATATTAATATTATTAATAATTTATTTTAAAAAAATAAAATCTTAATATATTATATTTTCGAGTTGTTCACGAGCTTTTCGAGTTGTTCACGAGCTTTTCGAGTCGAATATCGAGTAGCTCGTTTCGGCTCGTTAAGAACTCGAGTTGAGCTCGAGTCGAGTCCGTTCGTTCCGAGTATTTATCGAGTCTTGACCAAGTTGATCTCGAGTAGCTCACGATCTGTCTCGTCTCATTTACAGCACTACACATATGTGTCACTGTTATTTGTCTAAATTTGTATTTGGGTTCATATATGTCTCTAGTATGTATGTTTATCTTTCTAGATTCAAACGCTAGATATTTGAGGTTTTTATTTATAGATTTTATATCTAATATTTGATTGACTTGTTCTCGATTTTCAACTTAAAAATGTAGATTTCTCCCCAAGTATTATTCACTCATTCACAACATCTCGTCTTCCTCTCATACCTATTTTTCATTTTTCTAGTAAAGTTGTTTCTGAAGATTTTTTTCCCAATAGTGTTTACTCTCATTAAGGGTTTCACTTTCTTATTTTTAGTATTACTCACTCATTCACAACATTTTGTCTTCCTCTCACACAATCTTCTCTTCACGAGCAGCTTCTATTTTTTTTATTTTTCTGACAGTTATTCCTGACAATTTTCCCCCAATAGTGTTTACTTCCGTTTCACTTCCTTCTTTCAAGTGTACGAAATTCAAAACACTGTATTAATTTTAAGGACAATGTTTAAATTTTTGTATTACATCAGACCATGTAAAATTACTTCTAAAACATTGACTACACGATACAATAAATTACTTAGTGCTGATCTATTAATTTATTTTTTTCGGTAAGTATAAATATCTCGTTTTGCAATAAGTTATTTATTCATCAATTTAAAAGTAATTTAACCAACAATCAGTTGGTCTAGTGGATGAGGCACTAGGTCCCTTAAGCAAGGTCAGGGGTTTGAATCCTGACATTTGCGAATGGAGCAAACTGGGTTGGGAGGGTCGTCCCCGCCTCTGCAGTACTCGATATAGATTAGTCGTTTAATAGATCGAATATCAGTGATTAATTCAAAAAAAAAAGTAATTTAGTTACTGTAGACGCACATGATCCTCACAAACAAGTTCATCATCGATCTGTTCAAATTTAAGGATGATTTTCTTTAGGTAATTTAAGGTTGACTACGCCTTATGAAATGCCCTCACCACTTATGAAAATGGAGAAGCTCGTGTCGTTCCTCGAGACAATGCAACAATCAAGGTAAGACATCGTATTCTCTTCGGATATCAAAGACTAAGGTAATATGCATCACAATTTGAAATTTCAAGAGTTAATCTGAACAAAATAATTCTTCATATACCAAAGTAATAATGAGTAATTTAAGGTTACTTTCTATTCGGGTTCATATCAGTTTAGTTAAATTTCGGGTTGATATTGGTTCAATTCGATTTGTTTAGATTTCAGATTAATCATATTCAAATTTATATTGAATCTTGAGTCGAGTAAATCGAATTCGAGTTAAATTTTTCGTATTTAATAACGATTAAGACAAAATTATAACAAGATGATAGAGAATAAAATGATGTACAGAGAGAAACTAAAAACAAATGATCATACAAGAGATAATGGAGAAAAAATATTCTAAGAACAAATTGAAAATTAAGTTAAAGTAGAAGGTTAATGAGTTCTTGAGCCTTAATATTATGTTTATATATTAATACAAAATTAAAAGAAATAGAGAGATAAAATCACAAAATTAGAAGAAAATATCCGTATAATTTACTTTAGAAAAGGGTTCAAGTGCAATTTGAATTCGAGAATAAAGTGATATTTGTCTCATTGAATCAACAGTAGCTAATGTTAAAAGTCTGCCACGTGCATATGCATAACACGGAAAGACCTTTGGACTCCTTTAAATTCGTTTCATATTCCTTGAGGGAAGAAGTACCAAATATCTAAGTGAAACTTGAATTATATGATTTTATTAATTTTACAATTTTGTAAAAGATTAAATTATTATTTATAATTTTATTAGTTAAAATATATTTTTATCTTATATTAAATTATAAATAAATAATTTGTAGAGGGACATCTTTATAGTTATACCCATTTAGGAGGGTCATGGCCCTTCACCTCATTTCGCCTGTGTTCCTATGCCTTGGTGGTCACATGCCTTGGTTAGAATTAAAAGGAGCTATGTTTTTTTTCGTTTTTTATTAAATTATTAAATATAAAAATAATAAAATGATTTTAATATTAAAAAGTACTAAAAATACAAATATTGTTAATTTTTTAATAAATAAAATAAAAATTATCGAAAGTTATACAAAAACAAATTATAAATTATTAAAAAATTAATACTTATAAAGTATTAAAAAATTCGAACACATTCATTAGAAAAATATTCTATTATTTTAGTCATTTTGAGTCTACTACTATTCTTCGAATATATTTTTAGGGTAACCAATCTTGTATTAGAATAACAATAGATTTTAAAGTTCTTTCATGTAGTTTGTAAATGATGAGAAATTTTTTTACATCAATGAGTGAAAACACTGATTCGGTGTTTAATCAAATTCTATCTTCATCGGAGTTTATTTTAATAATAAAAAAAAAGTGGATCAAGTGTATCGGATTATTCAAATGAGTGCCTTCTGAAAGAAGTTGAATAGTACAGGAGGGGAGAAAGTTCACATGTATGTTGACAAGAATCCACGTCCTCCACACAATCGATGTTCACATCAACCAAGAATAATTACATGTATTGTATACTTGGAAACAGAACCATAGCTGCAAGTTATATATACTTGAACCTCTAGTTGAGAAAGAATAATGGAATTTGCAATTTTTTTCTAGACCAAAGATACCTTCCCCGTTGTCGAAGGAAGGAACAAATAGCCAATGATACATGAACAAATTTAATTCAGCAAGTTTTCTTCCTAGCTTTTGACAAATGTGTACCGAGTACTCATCAAACTCCCTATTATAAAACGTCACATCCAAGTCCACAACCATTTACTGTTAGCTCTGTGAATTTGGAGCGACTGTTATACAATGCAATGAATACACATGGAGAAAAGGAATTACCTCTGAGGCATGCCACTGTCCACTGCCAAGTTTTCTCCTTTTTTTTTACTTTCTTCTTTCCACTTTAACTTGAGGTAAAACACAAGTCTCCTCGCTACCAAATCTGAAAACTGAAATCTAGACACACGTTTCAACTCTATCTTCTGACTTGGGAGTAGAGATTCAAAAGGGTGTTTGATGCCCCCAAATAAGAAACTTAAAGAAATTATTATATTGAGAATGCACCATTTCCCCCATTTAAGATCACTGCCGCCAGAACAATTGTTAATGCCCACAAAACCCAACTGTATCTGGAAATGTCTAGCTAGTCACTGTCACTACCATGTCTATCTGAAAAAAAGGAAAAACAAGAAGGAAAAAAATTTAGCAACATGAATTTGCAATGAACACTTTGAGAAATGGAGGGAGAGAGATCTTCCATTACTTGCTGATGGCCTTTTCCCTTCCATGGCTTCTCTCTTCTCCTGGCAACTAGAGCAAAGGAAAGGACCGTCCCATGGACGCAATACTGAATTAGAAATGCCTGCATGAATTGAAATGCCCTCTCCAGGTTTCATCCCTAATTGACAGATTGCACACATGAACAGCTTAAACACGTTGCACAATGGATATTTTGTATCCAACCTGCATCCAACAGAAGTCCTCAAGAGATCAACTATGAACTACTTCATCCTCTCCTCATTCATAGCAAGACATGCCCCCACAGAACAGACAGACACAAAATATTAAATGGATCTAATCCTTGATCTGACCATTGATATTAAAATTTAAAACTTCTAAAAATATATACATTCTCATAAACACTAACCTTTCTGAAAGCATAGCAGATCCCTCCTCAAATAATTCCTCCACCACCTCCGGCTCAATGTATTCTTCTTTGTCACGAGACGATGATTCAGAATTCTTCTTGCGGAACATGACCTTAAACATACATTTGCTTGGCTTCTTCGGTGGCAGTGAAGGAGCAGCTGGCTTCTCTGGTGGTAAGATATCAACAACAATGCAGGTTGTATCATCTCGAAGACCCTTTGACTGTACAGCTTCCTGTTCATTGGAAACCAAGGAATCAGAAATCATGAGGAAAGGCAAACTTAGACTAACATATTCCAAAGCCAAATGGGCATAGTGCTCCCAGCAGCAATATCTGAAGAGCATAACGCAGAACAAAGGATAGGAGTGTACTTTCACAATCTGTGCAGCAGCTGCATCAGGTGGCATTCCACGACAACAATCAAGAGCTTCTTCAGCTGATAATACATCCCAAACACCATCACTAGAGATAATCATCCTACCACCAGCTGTAGATAACTGCAGAAAATAAACTAGTAGGTAAAATAAAACAATTATTAACGATGAAGATAAAATGTTTCCTAATTTTAGATAAAACACTAACTCAGTCAAACAGAACAATTGCAAAGAAAATTGATTAAGAAAGAAAAATACAAATACAAAAGCACTTCAATGTGTGGGTATAGGATACATGAGAATATGAAATTAATGACTCTACTAAGTACTTAACTAACAGGAACTTAGATTAGAAATGGTCATGGTTAGAAGTTCAAGGAACTGCATTACAGCCAAGTACATATACTTAGATTAGAAATGGTCATGGTTAGAAGTTCAAGGAACTGCATTACAGCCAAGTACATATCCAATCTCTAAAAAAAGCTGCATAAGCGAAAAAAATGAACATATTGTGAATCAAAATGTACAGAACATGATATTTAATCAATAGTGGCAGATCATTGAGTGAGCCATGTGGAGCCTAACCTGTTCAATAAATTTGTGATTGTTTTTACTAGAATTGTAAAATTATGATTTGCGAAAACTTACATATTATATGAGATTTGGATTTTTTTAACTGCTATATTGTTTGCAATCATCTTGTGCATTACAAAACGTTTTAGAAATACCTCAAATGAAAATAGATAAATATATAATTTCAAAAGCCCCCCTTAAATCAAATGTCAAGATCTGACACTATTAAGCACAGAAGTTAAATCAATAAATATCAAACACATTATGCAGGTAGATTATGGAAGACAAACCTTTACTTGCTTTACGTATGGAACAGGAACAATGAACTCCCCAACATCCATATCACCAATGGATCGTGAAAGGCACAATCCTCCAGGCCAACATCTCAAGGGACCAATCTATAAAATAACTTCACCATTAGGTCACCAGCTTTGATCCACACAATTAATCAAATATAGCTTTCTCTTATACTGCAGATACTGAAATTCCCTAATGAGAATCAATTTACCATTGTTTACAAATATACAAGTATAGTGTTTCTTAGGTCTGCATTCTGCAACACAGCAAGATAGATAACAAAAAAGCTGTTTCTAATAACAATTGTTAAAGCTGAAATTAGTAAGGTCTACAATTCACATCAATTATCAAATAAGTTTAATGTTTTCTGGTAAATTGTCGAAAGAGTCATGCAAGTCTGAACCTAGCTTCTAGATTGTGTTTTACAAGCATTATGGTTGCACATGTATTAACATTGATATCGAGGGTGTTAAGTTTCACTGATGGGGAGAAAAGACTAAGAATCTAGAGAAAAAATTGTTAAGGCACTCAAAAGGCATTACGATACACACTTTGTAGGGGAAGAGGACATACCTCTGCACCACCACCGGCATTTAACCGACCAATCTCACCCCCACATGCAGTGATCCGTTCCCTCCTAATAAGATGAAAAGAAAAAGTAAGACCTCAACATTTAAGGGAAACTTAAATGCAGCAATCACTATGCCAAAAACTTACTCCTCTTCATTGCATTCAAGCCTATGATCAGCTGACAAGTAGTATATTCCACCTTCAGCTGATTCAAATATACAACGGGAATCACCAACAGATGCAACTGTTATAACCCATCCTTCTATTATCACAAAGGTTACGGTTGTCCCTGACGTTTTTGCTGGGGAAAAAAAACCATGGCATGTCTATCAAATACTAAACACATGGAAGTAAACTCAAGAAGAAGTTATTACTCAAAGTACAGAAAATAAAAAGCAAAATAAAAGCCTACATAATAATATGGTTTCTCCTCTTTATAGCATTACCCACCCAATTGAAGGAAGAAATTATATGCTTATGTACATGAATTATTTGCTTATCTATAACCATAATAAAGTAAAGGGATAAAATAATAATTGGTGAAACTGTCTGGTATTCTGGTAGTATAGGTGATGAATTATCAGGCTGGACACAGATTTGTGGTGCCAACTTGACTATATCTAGACCAACTTAAAATTAACATCTCAAGACTATCAGTTAACTATTGACAAACAGTCAAACACCAAAGATCTTACATGATAACATCATAAGAATATTAACAAGCTGATCTATAGATAAAGATATGTTAATCTGATATCCCTTTTAGTTGTAAAAAAGGAAAGCACAACAGCTCCAAGATAGCATCCTAACCAAACAGCAACTCTTCCAACATATAACAAAATAATAAAAGGTTTAGTAGATTGAAATGGGATACAATCTATAACAAAATAGAATAAAATTACCCTACATGGACCTCACAGAAAAATAAAATAAAAGGTTTAGTTGATTGAAATGGGATACAATCGTCTACATTGATATGAGCATTAGGTCCTAACATTGCATGATCCATATGAATAAACAGTAGCAACCACTCCCAACATAAGTGCATAATTGTGATATAATTAAAACTTTTTCATCCAAAACTTATCCTATAGAATATATGCTATATTCAAATATGTTTACATAAAAACAAAACAAATCATACCTCTCTGTTGAAAATCTTTATCTGTTTTAACAAAGCCTGCAACCAAAGCTCTTGGAAGGGCAGCAATCCATTCATCTCTACTAAGATCTGCCGGCATGGCACTTAGAACATTATTAAGAAGATTCTCTTTAGTGTAGATAGCAGCAGCAGATCCATTGTGTCCATCAAAGAGCTGCCCAAAAAAAGAGTTTAGCAAGGCCAACCTATAAATAAAAGTATTACAAAAAAAATAAGGGAATAAAAAATGACATATATATATGCGTCAAATCAAACAAATTATAAAGATAGATACACCAATATACCTAGCTAACAAAAGTTTATAGATATTTACATTCTAGTGATTCAAACTACAAGTTTTTATGGTTAATTAAACACTTCAAAGTTGTGATTTAGCAACGATTTATTTAGTATGAAGACCGAAAATTTGTACCCCATAAACTGAGAATGTGGTGAAACCGTCTCCCATCGCTCTTTGGCATTCTGTTTTAATTAACGTAAAATCTTCACCTTTCTTGCTATGGCTGGCTTGTCCGTGTACAATCTCCGGGTTTTCGATCTTTTGGCTTGCTAATTCTCGTTTCAGTAGAACCGACAGCGGAACCGTTTGATGCTCGCCTCTTCTGGACATTGTTCCAAATTTCCAAACCACGTCAATAGCTAAAACTCCACCTCACTGACAATGCTCCTAACCCTCCGTGGATTACACTAAAAGATCCTGTAAAACGCACCATGCCGGCTTCAATAATCAAATCACGCAAAATAATCGAAATAAAGAACTGAATCCATCAACGATCTTCTGCCACATATAATACTGGAATGAAATCGGTAAGGGAAAACATCGAGATCTTCCACAAAAAATGTCTGATTTATTTTTAAAAACTGATCAGATTGTTCATCAAAATCGAAAAACAAAGTCTAAATCAATGTAGAGAATAACATGTTAAAAGTATTCCGACAAATCTGTTAATCATAACAGAAAAATAAAACGAATCTCGATGTGCAAAGAGAATAAAATGAAAAAGGACAAAATCGTATAATATCCAAGGAAAAGAGAAATTGAAATTTACAAAAGAGCATTGAGAGAAATCAGTCGATAAGCAGAGGATGGAGGAGACTACAAGCGAAGAGAATGAGAAGACAACGCGAGGAATTGGATTATTCACTACAATCGAGAAACGCGGGTCACTGAGTCGTGCAAAATATCCTTGTTTTTGTTGATCGAAAAACTCTTTTTGTGCGAGAGAAAAAAAAAAGAACAAATAAATAAATAAATAACAACACCCTTTTTTTTACAAAAACCGTAGATGGCAAATGGGGCAGCTTTTCTGCCTTTTTTTTAATTTGTTTTTCCTTTACAATATATGATGTGGCAAAAACGGTTTTAAATAATATAAAATAATATTTATTCAAAATTTTATTAAATTATTAACAACATATATTATTAGATTCAATTGTTTGAATTAAATTTTCTTATAAAAAGTAATGTTTTATGTATAATTAAGATTATTTAATATATTTGATTTTAATTCGAATTTAGATATATAAATATATGGAGTATTATTTTAAGAGAGGGCTGGCGCCGGTTAAGCAAAACGACATGTAGGCTCATAATAGCGAAAATTAAGAAAGGACCAAGTCAAATTGTCAATTTATCAGTTCCCTCACGAGACCGGGAATGCGATGCGATGCGATTGCATGCAAAGAAGGTTTATTTTTTAAAGAAAAATTAATAAAAATGCATTCTTTGCCGGTTAATGTCACGTAGCTGTGTGATAGCTTAGCGTGTGTTCCATAGAGCATGGTCCGCTTAGCGTGTGTTCCATAGAGCATGGCCCATTTAATTTAGGAAACTGTTTTTTCTCTAATTGCCAACCTAACCCTTTGACCTCCTCCATCGTCGACCGCGAAATTTTCGGAGCCAATCGCTCTCTGTAATTGACAATCCCGTCATCCCATCCAATCCCACTTCTTAAACATTTTAAATTTTATTTATTTTAAATATTTTCTTTATATTTTTATTAAAATTATATTTCCATCTCTTAAAATTTTATAAATTTATTATTAATATAAAATTTTGTGTACACTCCCCGCATGAAACACAATTACACAAAGAAATAAAAGAACAAATATTAGCCAATCCAACTCGATGCAACACCCTAAATACTCGAACCAAAGTTATTATTCAATCAAGGTGTGATATGAGAATGCGGGCTGTGTTGGTATTTGTAATAATGGAGGTTGTTTGGATACGTGGATGGAATGAAGTTATTATTTAATCTTATCATATACTAGAATTGGCCTCCACACTGAATTTTTGTATTCATTCTTATCCTTGCTTTTTTTTACACATGCGATTGATGAATATATACACTCTCTCCAACTAATATCGGATTTTAGATTTTCCTTTGTGTTTAAAAATAATGAATTTTTTTTAATATGTACACTCTCTTCTCCCTGCATTATCTTACATATGCATTATATTCATATACATATGTACTCTCTCACATTGCATATTAATCTTATTTAGCGTTAGCGAATATGTTCATTTATATATGTACAAAAATATTATCAAACAAATAGGGGAAAAAACAAATTAAATAGAATCACCCCTCAGTACAAAAATTGAATTGTACGATAAAATTAACATATTCAAACAAGAACGGTTTCAGGTTAACACAACACATATATTTTAGTGAAGAGATAAAATATGTAAATAGTTGAAATTACATTAGAAACAAAAAAAAACTTGGGATGAGAAGCACAAATGCACAATTAAAATAATATTTATGGATTTAACAATGAAACACAAGCAGGGTAAAGAGTTTACATTATAAAATGGAATCTGCTTTGTGCAAGATTTTACCCCAAATGAAATCAGATTAGAGTAGATTGATAATTCATAATGATAATGGAATTTCTCATATATGGTAATTTTATACAATTTCCCAATATTAATTTGTTCATATCATCAATCACATGAATATACGTTATAAAATTCTTTTTCAAGATTATATTAGGGTTCATGTGACTTTAGAAAGATTAAAAATAAATCTTATAGAAAAATATCAAAAATAAATTTTCTAAGAAAAAAAAAAGTGAAACAAAGGTATTAGAAATAATTTTTTAATTTTTCAAAAAAAAAAGTGAAGGAGAGGGAGTTGCAGAAGTCAAAGAGAGCAACAATGAAGTCAACTAAAATTCTAGTAACGAAGGTATTACCAAAAGAAAAAGGATATAAACATAAATATAACAAGAAAATCTTATATGATTATTACCACTATCAAATAGGGAGAAGCATTAGTGAAACAGAGAAACATAGGGAAATCTTATAAACCCAACAATGAAAACTTTTGTAAAGAGATTAACGGAAGTTTAAAATCTGATAAATCTTAACACATATTATAGTTTAAGGTTTGATAAATCTCATGAAAAAAAAGGGAAAGGAAGCTTGGAAGAGATGATCGGCTGGAAGGGGAAAAGAAAGGATAAGGAAAAGGTTTTTGTATTACAATTAGCGAAAAATGGTAAATTACAGAATCGGTACTTATACTTCTTAAGATTCACATTTTAAACTCCAAAATTTACCATGTATTTAATTTAGTATGTAACTTTACTAATATTTAAAATATAAAAAATTAAACGAGCTTATAAACGATATTCTAAACGAGCTTGCTCATAAACCTATAAATGAACTTGTTCGTGAATATAAACAAACCGAACACACCTCTGTTCGTCTTTGTTCTTTTATTAAACGGACATAAAAATTTTGTTCATACTCGTTTATTTAGCTTAATAAAAAAATATAAACAAATGTTATATGGACGATTCACGAACAGTTCACCGAACGCTATATTCATTTACACCCCTAATATCAGTCAGCATGTTAACTTCCAACTTAGATGACTGTTAATTTTTAAACGGAAAAGGATGAGCTTTAAACATAATGAATAATTGAGTGATCATTTTGTAATTTTTTATAGTCAATGAACTCAAAAAATCAACTCCCTATAGTCGGGAACTCAACAAAACAATATCATATAGTCGGGAGATCATTTGTGTATTTTACCCAATAAAAAATTATAGCAGTAGCTTACCTATTATTAATAAGAGACAGTGGTGTTCACTTTTTAAATTAATCGAACTAATCGATCAAATCAAATTAGTTTGGTAAAAATGATTGGTCACCGAATTAGTTTGATCGGGGAACGATAAATTTTTTCAATATCCAGTTAACGGTTAATTCGAGTTGAAATTGATTAATTAACTGAATTAATAAAAAATATTAAATATTAAATATTTTTAAGCTCAAACTCATTAACAATTAATATAAAACTATTTTTAACCATATTAAACTCATTAAATTGTCAAGACCTAATTAGATTTTAACCTAAAAAAACCTTTCTCTATTAAACTCAAATTGATCTAAAAACTTCAATTAATTCGACAACAAACTGAATTAACCAAATTTTATTCAATTAAATTAATCATTTTTAAAAAATAGTTTAATTTGATAAACAATTAAAAAAATTAATTAACTTAATTAATAGATATTTAATTAGTTTTATCAAACGCACCGTTTGAACAAGGGATGGGCATAGGTCGGGTCTGATTTTCAGTCAATCCGACCCGACCAAAAAATTATACATCCTCCGCCTGAATCAGACTCGACCCAAAATATATATACTCTCCACCCGACCCAAACATGATCTGACTTTTTGAGATAAAACTCGAACCCGAACCGAAATAATATATTTATTAAAAAATATTATTTTTATTTAATAACCTTAGTGACAAAAAATGTCTTATAATATACGATTTTAACAAACTTTTTTTGGATTTGCCAAAATGACCAACTAAATCGCAATGCGATCGATAATTCGCAACGCGATCTCCGATATCGCAAATCAGTTTCCAAATTCGCAACGCGATTCTGACTATCGCATTGCGATTTCCCAAATTCGCGTTGCGATTTTCCTAATTCGCAATGCGAATACGTAAATCGCAATGCGATTACGTAAATCGCAATGCGAATTAGGAAAATCGCAATGCGAATACGTAAATCGCAATGCGAATCTGACTATCGCAATGCGATTTACATAGCGCCATTCATATTAACGCGTATTTTTTTTTCAAATTCCAAACACAAATATATTAATATATCAGAAACTGAACCGTCCACAGTATATCCCGTAATCGCAACTCATAATCTAAAACCTAAAATCACAACTCAGTCCCATCTCCATCTCTCACTCTCTACGGCGAAATCCGTCCCCATCTCCGAAGATTTCCGTCCCCATCTCCGGCGAAATCCCTCACAACCATTCACGGTCAGAAATCTCTCACAATCATTCAGAAATGGAAAATCAACCTCCGAGGGTTAGTTTTTTAATTATTTTTATTTTGAAATTTTTGCATTATTTTAGGTTTTTCATATTGAAATTGATGATAAGTTTACTGGTAATTTCAATAATAAATTAACCATTTCACTTAGATTTCTTATTAAATTCATTTGATTGCTGCCAATACTGCTAAACTGTTTAGTCTTTAACCCTGTGAAGTTAGTCTTTGTTTTGTCTTTTGGTTGAAGTAATGCAGAAGAAGAATAGTTTCTAAACTTAAAATCGCAACATGAAAATGAAAATCGCAACACGAAAATGACTATCGCAACGAGAGAAATGAAAATTGCAACGAGAGAATCGCAACGCGAAATGAAAATTGCAACGATATAATCGCAACGCGAAACCAAAATCGCATTGTGATTTTCATTTCGCGCTGAGATTCTCTCGTTGCGATTTTAATTTCGCGTTGCGATTCTCTCGTTGCGATTTTCATTTCAACCAAAAGACAAAACAGTGTTGCAAATTTTAGTTTCAAGAATAAACTACTATTTATGTTTATTGTTTTTGGTATTTCTTCACAGTGTAGCTTTTGGTATATCTAACTTGGTATGTTTATTATTTTTGTAGAAATTTTTTTCTGCTTCATTGACATTAAGGAATAAAGTTAGCCTAGCCACTACAATTGCTTCGAAGCTTTCACCTGCAAAAGAAAATTGTTTGAGGAAACCTGCTTCGGGCCATGGCTGAGAGTACAACATCCGGGTGGAGATGCTAATTTGACCCATTTGTGGCTTCAGACCATGACTAACGATCTACCCGACAGTATACAACGTGGTGAGGAAGAGATATTGTTTCATTTTCCACCGGCGTATACTTGTTTTGGGCGGAAGAAGTTCTGCTTAATCACTGGTCTACGATTCGGACACGATGATGTAGGCCGGTACACTCGTCATATCACCCGCCCATCATGGTTATCCAGGGTTTTTCCTGATGAGTCAATAAAGAAGCCGAACTTACACGTCGACGACCTGAATAAATTGTTTAATAAGAAAGATGGTTTTACTCGGATGAATGACGTCGATGTTGTCCGAGTATGCCTTCTAGTACTTTTGTATGCCGGCTTTTTAGGCAGAGAGGCCAGACAACCTATTCCTCAGGAGCTAATATTATTGGTAGAGGACCTAAATGCATGGAATCTGTTTCCGTGGGATTCGTATATATGGAAAGCTACCTGGACTAAGTTGTCGTCTGCCTTTGATGACCGCAAAAGTTTGTGTGGCGATGGGTCGAAATACACTTTGTCAGGCTTTGTTTGGGCCTTTAAGGTAAGAATTTCTATATAGTGTTTTCAAAATTATAATTAATTATTTAACAATTACTAATTTTTGTTATTATATTGTTTGTAGATTTGGATATTCGAGGCTTTCCCCAGCATGCAGACATATGCATTAAAAACTTCAAATGATATTCCTAGGGCTATTTCCTGGAAGAGGAAACGTCTGTTGGATTGGGAAGACTTAATACCATATGCGACAATAAATAATGTAAGTTAACACAAATACTATCATATATAAACAAGTTATTAATAGTAGACGTTTAACTTTGTTTGAGTTTTTATATTTTTAAGAGGCCAACACTCCATTAATGAGACTGACACCCACGGAGGCTGAGCTTGCCACTGATTGGTGGCAAGCTAGTCAGCGTTTTCTTGATGGCACAAATGATGAGCAACCTCCACTTCCTCCACTTCGAGAACCATCACGTCACCTAGAGCCATCACCCGATCGACCCGACTATACACCTCTACAACGAGAGCCATCACCTATCCCGTCACATCATCGAGCCTCTTCTCCACCATCGCCTCATGATAGGCGACCGACAAAGATGCCACGACTTCTATCTCCCTGTTCTCCACCTCCACGGGATGAGTCAAGGGAGTTACGTGATGAGGTCAATGCATTGCGTGAGGAGATCGGTACTCTACGCGATAACGATGGTGCATGGCGTGTGAAGGTGTCTACTTTACGTTGTGAGGTTGCCGCTCTACGTGAGATGGTAGTATCGTTGCAGAATGAGGTTCATACTCTACGCAACGAGGTAAGTTTAAGATTTTCAATATTTAACTTGATGATAAATTTACTCGTAATTTCACTTAGATTAACCATTTCACTTATATTGCTTAGTAAATTTATTCGGTTGCTGCCAATACTGCTAAACTGTTTATTAACACTGTGAAGTTAGTATTTGTCTTTTGTTGTCTTTTGGTTGAAGTAAATTTATTCAGTTACTGCAATTCTGCTAAACTGTGTATTCTTTAACACTGTGAAGTTAGTATTTGTCTTTGTTTTGTCTTTTGGTTGAAAGTAAATTTGTTCGGTTGCTGTCAATTCTGCTAAATTGTGTATTCTTTAACACTGTGAAGTTAGTATTTGTCTTTGTTTTATCTTTTGGTTGAAAGTAAATTTGTCCGTTTGCTGCCAATTTTGCTAAACTGTGTATTCTTTAATACTCTGAAGTTAGTATTGGTCTTTGTTTTGTCTTTTGGTTGAAGTAATGCAATACATTCAAGTTTCAATTTGCAGAAGAAGAATAAATAGTTTATTCTTGAAACTATATTTTAGCAACACTGTTTTGTATTTTGGTTGAAATGAAAATTGCAACGCGAAACCAAAAATCGCAACGCGAAACTATAATCGCGTTGCGATTTTCATTTCGCATTGCGATTCTCTCGTTGCGATTTTCATTTCGCGTTGCGATTTTTCGTTTCGCGTTGCGATAGTCATTTTTCTCGTTGCGATTTTAAGTTCTAGAAACTATTATTCTTCTGCAAATTGAAACTTGAATGAATTGCATTACTTCAACCAGTAGACAAAGACAAATACTAAGTTGACAGTGTTGCAAGTTTGAAACATATTTGTCTTTGTTATCTGATGCATTTTGTGAACTATGATAGAATAATGACTTGGGTGAATTCAATGCAAGTTTGAAACATATTTGTCTTTGTTTTCATTGTTTAAATATCATGTCTGTTTATTTACTGATTTTTGTATTTAATTATTTAGCGGCCCGATAAGGTGGATGCTTTACGTCGGGTTTTTCTTGCACGACAAAGTTCATATATCAGACGGCATGCACGTGCTATTAAGTCTCCGTACACCCCAATAGTGCGAAGACACCGCAAGAAGAAGCCCGACTCACCTGTCATCCCTCAAGAGTCCACTCCTATCGTTGAAGAGGCCCCTATCATTCCTCGAGAGTCCCCTCCCACCGTTCAAGAGGCCACTGTCATCGTTGAAGAGGTCCCTCCCACCATTCAAGAGCCCGATTCACATGGCGTCATATTTAAGATTCTTGAGAAACCCTCTGACGTGCCGGACATGATGGATGATAGTTGGCTCTCGTATGAGTTACCGGCCAGTACCATTCTGGTATCTGAAGTGGAGAGGAGACAACTACCGGACACAATTCTGGATAACACCCTTTGGGCTAAGACCGCAGTTGATTTTTATCTAAAAGAGCGGAGACAGGGGTGTTTCACTGACATATGCAAGCTCAACGATGATATCTATTTGTTGCTTGATCGGTCTTGGTGGGGCGTATTATTAGGGATCGAAGACAATGGCTATTTCGATGGAGGGGTAAGTCTTTTATTTTTCTTATATTTCAATTTGATTTTTTTTTAAATTTATGTAAGTTACTAATATATGTCTTTTTTTGTAAAACAACATATCGATGAGTGGGTGTCACGTCTTCTAATAATTAGGAAACTTAAGGAAAATAAAAGAAATACACGATATACAATTATGCCGACGTCTTTTAACGTCGTTCACTTGAAGAATCAACGAGATGAATCATTTGCGTTGGGCAATGGACAAGCTAAACTTTATCCAGCATGGTGGGAGGTCGATAAGGTTAGTATTTATTTTAGATTGAGTTTAAAGGTATTCATAAATAAGTGCGCAAATGAATGAATTATTACTTATGATTGCAGGTGTTTATCCCTGTTTTGGAACGTAAACATTGGCTTCTCGTCGAGCTTCAGCTCCCATCCCTTAAGGCAATAGTATATGACAGCATGATAAATTACATATCATTGGTTGATTTAAGAGATATTATTAAGGGATGAAGCTCTCATTTGGCTAAATTCTTGGATACGATAAATTATTGGACTCGTTCTGGAAACAAGAAGCCAAAGAAGCTCAATATTACAGTTAGCAGAGACGAGACCGCACCACAACAAACGAATGGACCCAGAGGGGATTGTGGTCCTCTCGTATGCTTGGCGTTGGAGCGTTTGATCACAGGAAGTATAAAGTATCTACCTCTCACCGATAAAGATAGAGTTGCAGTAGGCTTGTGGTTTCGACATTATATGGCTAGATCGATATATACGAGATGCTGCCTACATGCATCCGCGTTATAAAAATGTCCATAAATAATTGGTAAGTTTATAGGCTTTTGGTTTGAAAATGTTTGGTTAAGTACCTATAATTCAATAATTTGTTGTTTGTAGGTTTTAGATGTGTAGAAAGTGTTGTTTGAGCAAATGTTTGGTTTCTGCAGATTAATCTCAGAAGTGAGCTGCGTGAAAATGATGTATGGCTGCAAAAGTTGATTCAATAGTAGATGAGAAAATAAGAATTATTGCTTATTTTTTATTGTTTAATTGATTTGTAAAAGATGATTTGTAAAAGTTGATTTGTTTAATTGATGTGAACATAATTCTTATCTGTGCTTGTTTAATTGATTGAAATGTAATGGTTGATTTTGTTGATTTCAATCTGCATTATGTTGAAGGCAAAAATGACTATCGCAATGCGAAATGAAAATCACAACGACAAAATCGCAACGCGAAACTAAAATCGCAACGCGAAACTAAATTCGCATTGCGATTTTCATTTCGCTTTGCGATTCCCTCGTTGCGATTTTCATTTCGCATTGCGATTCTCTCGTTGCGATTTTCATTTCGCATTGCGATTCTCTCGTTGTGATTTTCATTTCGCATTGCGAACGTCATTTCCGCGTTGCGATAGACATTAAGATGATTGCGAACGTCATTTCCGTGTTGCGATAGTCAAATGAATGCCTAATAAGTGATAACAGCTGAACATATCATAGCAATTTTCAAACTCAAGTTACTAATACAGGCCTAACTGAAAATGTTAAAAGTTCACACATAAAATCCACATAATACAACGTTTGCATTTAAAAATCACCTAAGTTAACAGTCCCAAAAGGTGAAGCCGGTTGTGATTGGGATTTTAAAGATGATTGCCTTTTGCTTGACACCATATGAGCTTTGGATTTTGATGAGGATCCATATTTTGGTATAGAAAAATATGATTGTGATGGCACTGGTGATCCACATGTCAATCTTGTATGACCACTTTCCTTGCATCGACTACATGTCGATCTCTTCTTCTCTTCACCCTTAGACGGTATACGATCGTGACTTTTTGGTCGGCCAGGTAGCCTTCTGTCCATGGCTGGTGGTAAAACTGTTTGTAAGTCATCTGGTATGCCTATTCAGAAGGATGTGGAATAGGGTAGACAATCTCGCCATAAGTCTGTCGATATACTTCTGTAGTGTAGTAATCCATAGCGTATGCGCTTGAATCATCTTGGTTTAGATGAAGAGAAACTTTTATAACATGGCCACACGGATAACCAGATGTTTGCCATTTCATACAACTACACGTCTTTGCATTTAGATCGACAAGCCCATTTAAGTTATTATTCAGTACTTCAAACAAAGTGTTTGAACATGGTTCAACTCTCCATGACGTTGACTTCACAACACGTTTCGTTATCTTTTTTTCTGTCCATGGTGTAACACGATGTTCCAATGTTCTTGTAAATTTAAATAAATAATACTTAGTAAAATATATGATAAGTTACGAATTTAAAGAAATAGTACCTGCATGGTTTCTTTTCTTGTAGTACCACTGTTGAATAGAGGCTCGAAAAAACTCCATTAACATAGTAATGGGTAATTTCCGGGAATGACGACTTAGATCGTTGATTGATTCTGCACTATTAGATGTCATGAAACCATATCTTGCTCCAAGTTGATGTACTCTTGACCATCTTTCAAACCCGACATCTTCTAGTGTTTGAGCACACTGAGGCAAAACACGTCTTAAACAGTTTATATGCTTATTAAAATCCACTTCCCGATAAGCTTTTACAGCATTCCAGTATGTCCATTTATGATTTTTTATACCAGCAGACCTTGATTTTAGATTTCTATACAAATGAACACCACAAAGTCCATGAAAAGCATCTGGGAAACACTTTCTAACAGCGTTGTCAATTGAGTTTGCCCTATCGGATATGATTGTCAGATTGCTAATAGGACCTATGCAATCCCTAAGATGCCCCATAAACCATGTCCATGAATAAGAGGTTTCAGATTTGCCAACCCCGTAAGCTATTGGCAGTATCCCATTGTTAGTATCCATGGCTACTGCTAATAAGTTTACTCCAAGGTATCGACCTTTTAAATGTGCTCCGTCAACTATAATAACTGGGCGCATGCAATTAATAAACGAACGAATCTACAAAATCATATATACAAGAAATATAATCATTTAAATGTGTAATGCATGTAACTAACAAAAATGAGTCAACAAAATTATATTGATTTACTAACCGCAGCACCAATGGCGATAAACAGCAACTCAAAGCGTCAATCTCTATCTGTTTTGATATGAGTTACCGACCCAGGATTTTTCAGCTTTAAATTGTGACAATAAGCCGGCAGTTGGGCAAACGATGCTTCTGGCGACCCCTTCAACAATTCCAAGGCATAACATTTGGCTCTCCAAGCTTGAGAATATGAGATACTAATCTTGAACCGAGCATTCATGTCAGTCATAATTTCATGTCCCCGATATACCCTACCATTCAAAAACATTAACTCAGCCAGAAAACCACTCAACACCTTTTTGTTTGCCTGTCTATGGTGAGGAAAAACTTGGGTTCTTGAACATGTATGTTTATCAATAAAAGTTCTATCTTGAAACATTTCACAATCTTTTATCCTCTTTGCAATCATACGCCACATACAGTTTTTGTCAATCATACACCTTGTTTCGAAACGATCTTTGCTTGATTTGTTAACTTTTAGTTGATAGCCATCTTCCACACATTTCGTATACAAAGCTATCTTCAAGTCTTCCTTTGTATCAAAACAATCATCTTTCTTGATACGAATAATTTTTGTGTAACAATCAACTGCTATCTTTACTAACTCTTCTTCCGGTATCTGAAGTAATTCTGGCATATTCCAGTTATACTCCCGTGGCATTTTCTTCGGGGACTTTTCTTTGGGGATTTCTTCTTCTTCTTTTTCTTCTTCAGTGTTATATGAATTACAGAATGGATGTTCAACATGTTCATTTACAGTCGTAACTTCCTCCTCATTATCATCAACAACATCTTCCTCGGCAACGGCTGTTTCATCATCAAAATTCGGGTATTGACCAATATCAAAATCATTACACGCAGGGTCTGTTTCTTCTTCTGAAAAATCATCAAAATCCGAGTATTGACCAAGATCAAAGTCCGGGTATTTACCAAGATCAAATTTCGAATACTGACTAGTACTCACAATTTTTTTTGTTGGCTCGTCATTGTCTAACTGGTCAATACGAAAACCAGAATTTTGTGCTGAAAGTTGATTGGGATTTGGATTAGAGAAAGGTTGTGGGTTTTGAGATTGTGTTTGGTATTGGAAATGTGGTGAAACAATATTTGTTTGGTGATGAAATTGTGGTGGAACCATTAAATTTTGAGCACCATAAACTGGGGTTGAAAAACTTAGTTGATTACTACACACTACTGACCCAACTTCACTACTTCTAGGTTCAACAACATACAATGTAACATCATCACTTGAAACACTAATGTAAGCAATGAATCGTTCAACATCTTCATTGTCGGTTAACAAATAAACTTTACAATTTCCATGATAAGATAGCCTAAATCCACTTAGGGGCTCTAAATTCAATTTATTTGCAACACGTAACATTAGAGTTTCATAAGTTAACTTTTTAATGACAGTTTTAGTTGAAGATTCATGGGTAAAGGCATATATTGTAAAACACCATGAACATTCTCTTATGACCCTCCAAAACACAAATCTATCCAAACATGATCAACATTAGATGATTTCATTATTGTAAATTAATTTACTAAACAAACGAGCTGCGAAACTAAAACCTGTTGCCGGATGGGGAAGGATGTCGTTGGATATAGGAACGGATATCGCTAGAGAGAGTGATAGATAGAGATGGAATGAGTTGAGATTTAGGGATTTAGGTTATGAGTTGTTGCTGCTGCGTAGTTATATACCCAAAACATTTGTGTTGCGAAATTAAAACCTATTGCGAATTCAGAAATCGAGTTGCGAATTTGAAATTCAGTATTGCGATAGTCAGAATCTCGTTGCGATTTACTAAATCACAATGCGATTTACTAAATCGCAATGCGAATACGTAAATCGCATTGCGATTTACGTAATCGCATTGCGATTTTCCTAATTCGCATTGTGATTTACGTAATCGTATTGCGATTTACGTATTCGCATTGCGATTTAGGAAAATCGCAACGTGAATTTGGGAAATCGCAATGCGATAGTCAGAATCGCGTTGCGAATCTGGAAACTGATTTGCGATACCGGAGATCGCGTTGCGAATTATCGATCGCATTGCGATTTAGTTGGTCATTTTGGCAAATCCAAAAAAAATTAGTTAAAATAGTATATTATAAGACATTTTTTGTCACTGAGGTTATTTTCACTTTTAAAAAATTATAAAAAACTTCAATTAATTCGACAACAAACTGAATTAACCAAATTTTATTCAATTAAATTAATAATTTCAAAAAAATAGTTTAATTTGATAAACAATTAAAAAAATTAATTAACTTAATTAATAGATATTTAATTAGTTCTATCAAACCCACCGTTTGAACAAGGGATGGGCATGGGTCGGGTCTGATTTTCAGTCAATCCAACCCGACCAAAAAATTATACATCATCCGCCTGAATCAGACTCGACCCGAAAAATATATACTCTCCACCCGACCCAAACATGATCTGACTTTTTGAGATAAAACTCGAACTCAAACCGAAATAATATATTTATTAAAAAATATTATTTTTATTTAATAAAAAATAGGGATTTAAATAACAATAATAATATATAGAGGGATATTATTGAAATTATCTGTAGATATAAAGGTAAATTATTATTTTTCTCTAGTCAGGTTGTGTATTTTTTACCTTAAATTCGAACTCGACCCGATCCGAAAATAACCTTTAAAAAACCCGACTTGACCCGATCCGACAAAAACTCATTTTTAAAAAAAAAATCTGATCCAATTGGATTGAATCAGTTCGAAACTAGTCGGATCTGGGTGATGCCCCATCCCTAGTTTGAACACCATAACAAGAGAGACAGCCCCCACCAACAGACATTATCAATATCAAGGACAATCCAATCATTTCCTCTAATCTCCCGACCTTTTAAAATTAAAAGTAATTAATGACCTTCGTATCTCTTTGTATTAACCCCCAACCCCAAAACCCAAAACGCACGCAAAGAACAGAACATAAGCTGAATAAGTTCACTGGTGTGGGGTGCCTCCAATTTTGTGTGGCTTGGAAAGTGAAAGATTAATAAGGAATTTGGTTGGTGGGATCTGGTAAAAGTCCTCTTTTTATCGATCTGTTGGAGGAGGGACAACAAAAAGGATATGGTGGGATGAGTGAAAGGAAGGATAAGGAGAACCGGAGTGACAGATGGCTAGGGAAGGAAGACCCAAAGGGGGCGGCTTTGGTTTAGGCTCGGCTTCGGGTCACTGGTCGTATAAAAGGATAACTCTGACTGTTTGCTTCGTTAACATTGTTATTGCTCTCTTTGTTCTTCGTTCTCTCTATTCTTCTCTCTACATTTATTCCAACAAAGATAATGGTAAGTTTCTATCAGCTTTGCCTTTTTCCTAAGAAATTTATTACTGATTAGTGTTTCGATTTTCTGGGTTATTGTTCCTTTTTTTAGTTGTAAAATATACTCAAGATCAGATTAGGAAAATGGAAGAATCAGTTAAGATTCGAAGAGCTAGTGAACCTATCGAGCTTATTAAATTGGTAAGCAAATTAACCCTTTTTTTAGAGCTTTCGTTTTGTTGGCGATAATTTTTTTAATTGAGATAACACTTGATGTCTGTCTGTAAATAAAGGTTAAGAGAATAAAGCGTGAATCTTGGAGTGAAGAATCGGTGGCTGAACTGCCACAGGCAGTTAAACATAAGATAACTGATGAGATCCTACAGAGATTGAGAAGTTTGAAACCAAATGCCACTGCCATCGAGCAGCAAGGTTAGTGTCTTAGTTTCCTTCTAATTTTTTACTGTTTTGTTCGTTTATATTACATTATAAAGCTGTTGTATTTCTGTATATTCTTATTTAGTATGTATTGTTTTATTATACAGGTTGAACATTTATGATGTATCCTTTTCAGGAGTTTTAGGTTTTAGGTTCAAAGATTACAAACTTTTTTTGATCTGGAAACTGCAAAGATTACAAGTTAATAAACAATTCTCGGTGAATAAGTCTGTCTTAAACTGCATTATTATAATGGAGACTTTTAGATGTGTGATTACCTAGTTTAGCATCCAAGAGACATAAGAAATACATTGAATACATTGCAGATTTTGAGCATGAAAAATCATTTTCTGTTTTTATCACAAAATACCACTTGATTATTGCCCAGATCACATGTTTCAGTACAAACGTTATGATTGCCCGAACCTGAGCTTCCTAGGGATCACCTTCTTGATCTGTCAAGAGGCAAATGGAATTCTGTGACTGAAGAAATATGTTTTGAGACTTTGTTCCCATCATCTATGGGCGTGTTTGTGATGCTTCCCTATGTTTCATAACAATAGGAAAGTTCAATTCTTAATTACATGTAGGCTTTCGAATTCATGCCATTTAATTTCTGTTAGGTTTCACATGTTATGCTTTCTCTTCTGTTCTTTCATATTTCCAAGGTTCCTAATCTTATTAATCTAATGTCACCCAATAGTCCAAAGGTGTATATGCTTCATATTCATTACATAGCAATTAATGGGATAGATCAATTATTTCATAATCTGTTTGAATTTAGCTTGCCACCAAGCCATAGTTCGCAGAACTTTGTGGTTAATTGATTGATTGCATTAAGAAGAAATGCAACATTTGTATTCTTTGGTGCCCAGTGATTATGTTGTAAGATTCTCTTCGTTCTTTTTTTTTCTTTCTTTTCTGATTGGTGAAAAAGCTCATTGTACATTGTGATTCTTGATTGAAGAAAGGTTTCAAATCATTGGTTAGGATATATTTCTGATTATAACTTTAAAGAAAATAAGTTTTTGTTGGTGGCCATCACTAAATTCTTATTAGAAATTATCTTTCAGAATTTGTGTAGTACATATAAGATATTAGTGTTTAAAGGTCCTTTTATCCATCAGAATTTGTGTAGTACATATAAGAATTTGTGTAGTACTTATTTCTTTCTCTTCTTTTCCGGTACCTTTTTCCTTTATGAAATATATTGGGTCTGATTATATGATTAAATGATGTTTCATGCATCTAATTGCTTAGAAGCCAAATACCCTCTGTTCTCCCTACACCGAATAACACAACTGCATCACCTCTTCATCTCTTATCGGCGTAATAAGTCATGGACATATTTACATGGTTACTTATACTGATTGTGGTGATCCACTTGTACTTGTCCTTTTGTTTCTTTTCTTTGGTGCATAAAGGACTGAGTTTCTTGCATTATGCGCTGTTTCTGACTGTTTACATGAATGTAAAATAGGTAGAAAATTGGTTTACACTAAAGGGATATAGTCTTACTGAGGCCACTGTACAATTTATGATGAGAAGTGTGAGTTTCTTGGGTTTGGCATTGCCCGAATTCAATGTGTATTTGAGTTAAAAATCAGTAGTTGTTTTGAAATTTTCAGAACTATTGTAACTATAACCATTTTTTGTTTTTATTTTAGTTGGCAATATTTTGCTGCTGGTTGCTGATCAGCTCTATGTTTAAAGATCTTTACTTTTAGGAGTTGGCTGAAATTGGAACTTATGTTTTGCTGTTTCTAGAACAACCACAAGCTAATTTTAACGAACACAGGATTCAATAGATTCTTTTAGGCTCTATTTGTTTTGGATTCCTCAAAAGCTTCCCAATTCTCCAAGCAAACCCATTTCTGCCATTAGTTAAGAGTTTAAGTTATCAGCAATAATGTTGGTCTCATGTTTGAGGACAACTAATCATCTCTGTCATTGTTTTCGTAGTTTTTCATTATAATTTACTACTATTATTATTGGGTTAACAGAAGCAGTTGAAAGCTGGCGGAAGGAGAAACTAAAAGAAGCTAAAAAGTTGACCCTTGGAGGGGATGGGTTGAGTTCAACACGTTTGCAAGAGGAAGCAGGTAGCTCGTACTCTGAAGCTGTGGCATATTTCAGTTATTCCTCATTGAGATAAAAAAATGGGTGTCAAAGTTTAAACTTTCGGGAAAGGAAAATCAATTAAACAATTATAGCCCACAATTTCATCGATTCACTCTTTTAAATAACATTGATTAGTAACTTCAATAATTTTTTAATCACTTGTATGATTGTATCGCATGTCATGATAAAAGTATTGTAATGTGATACTTTTAGTTTGATACAATTTTTTGAAAAAATCGGTCAAAGGGTTTAATTGATACATTTTTTTTAGTTTTAGAGCTTAATTGATTTAAATTTTCAGTTCGAGTGCTTAATCAAGTGCAAAAACTAGGGGTTTAATTGATTTTTAAAAAAAAATCAGGCACCCTAGGTCAAAAAATATTACCCGTTTTTCTTTTTGTGGAATGTTAATATTACCTGTCTGACATACCATTTCTGTAGGGATGTTAGTAAAAGCCTTGGAGTCCAATTGGGCTGTGCTGTCGGAAGAAATTGGCGTTTGGATACCCACTGAAATCAATAATCAAGAACATGATGATAAGCCTGAGGGTATGGAAGATACAGGTAGTTGTTCAAACCCATCTCTCTCTTTCTCTCTCTTTAGGGCAGCATAGCAGGCGGATTTAAATCAAGATTTGGGAATATGGATTTGAAGTTACAAAACTCTTCTTCAAAGAAGAGTTGATCACTTAGGTGCAACCCTTTATGTACTGCAGAAGACGAGGAACAAATTTTAGCTGGGAGGCCCCTTCCACGAGAATGTCATGCTGAACTTCATACTGATTATGGCGGTGCTGCCGTTAGATGGGGTCTTACCCACCACAAAGAAACTGCAGCCGACTGCTGCCAGGCTTGCTTAGATCAGGCCAAAAATGCAAAGCCTGGTGAAAACAAATGCAACATATGGGTTTATTGTCCATCAGAGACTGGTTGCTATTCCCCAGATAAATACCAGCACAAACACATGGAGTGCTGGCTTAAATTCGTAAGTTCCCTTTGTATCCATTAAGTTAGCATTCTCATTCCATACTGACTGTAACTTAATTTGCAGTCGGAGAAACCCCGGCTGAACTTTAAGGACAGATATTCTGAAGCGTACCAAGATGCACACCCAAAGGCGCCTGTTATGGTTCCTTGGGTATCAGGTATTATTAGCAGTTGACTGAATTTTGATCAACAAGACAGGCAACCGATAATGGACAGTCGATTCAAGATGTATCGGACTCTAGTTCTACTGATGTTTATGATTGACAAAGACCTATGCTTTTCACAATATAATGTGTTTCTGGTTTTGGAACATGGGGGAAAACCAGAACCTTTCCAACCTACTCTTGACATGGAAACTTTTTGTACCACGAAATGTGTCAATTGGGCGGTCTCAGGCTGCATTGATAGATGGAGAGACCCATGGGAGTTAAAGAAATGAAAAGCCTGATTTGTTCAATTATTTATACATTGATAAATGTGAAAATGGATCTCTTTTGTGTGGGAAAGTTGGATTGGACGATCCTCATTAATCTGCTGTATGGGTATATGAATGTGAAAGAATTCTTTAACACCTTTTATCTTTTGTTTTTTCATGTTGGCTTTGCAGCATAATTCTGACCGTCATTTAATTGTTATTTACAGGAAAGTATTAGCCTACAACGGTTGCCTTTCTATACGAGGAAATCAAGATTTATAATGATCAAACCAATCAATGAGGCCTTCACTTGATTTAAAGCCATCTAACTTGTTAATAAATCATATAGAGGAGGCTAAAGGAAAATACAATATTTTAAAACTAATTTAATTGACTTTTGTCTTAATTAGCTTACTGATAACATGTTTAAAAACTGTCGAATATTATAAAAAGAATAAGAAAAACAACACCATTTGAGAGTAGATAGTGTTCTATTGTTTGAACTCTGTAAAGTCATTATTTATAGGGTTAGAATTATAGGGATAAAAAGGATGTACAAGAAGACGAAAGATCATAAATCTAAAGAGGGGAAAGATGAAAATATATTTACATTTAATATTATTTTAACATTTTACGGACATTGATCTTTGACTAAGCCCTACAGCCTGAGCCCAAAATCGTACTAAGCAAAGTCGAGTATTAAAACAACGGCCAATCTCAGAAGCCAATCAATCCCAGAAACTGAGACAATCAAGCTTGTGGTTGGGGACAATTCAATTCCTTGATTTTTAATGAACACCTGTAGTTTTTAACTTGAAGTGTAGGAGGATCACTAAAATTTAAGAGGGGGTTTAATTGGTGATCATATAGAATTGTTGGGAATAAAAGGAAAGTAGAAAAAAGTTTGTTCCACATCTCGATCCTACGACAACTCGTCGATAAACCCAGTTCTTAGCTTAACGTTCTTCGTTGTTGGAGCAAAGAATCTTTCTTTCTTTATCTAACTGATATACGGAATCCGAAAGACAATATATTTTTAAGGTTAGTGTTTTTGCTACTTCCGTTATCTTTTTCGAAAACGATTTGATTCCAGTTCAAGATTGTTTATTTTCTTCCTTTAATGATTAACAGGTTCCCTAACTTTTATGGGTTTTGCTTTTTAAAGATTATTAATTCAATAATCTCGAGTTGATTAAATCATTCATTGTTGGGTTTTACATGCCTGGGATCAAAACGGAAAGTTGGATTTAAATTGCAGTTGCGGACATCACGAATGCTGTTGAGGTTGGGTATTGTTGTCACCGTTAATGCTATACAACGGCCTCTATTCTGATAGCGGACTGCTATTTAAATCCCTCAAGGCCATTCATTGACTAAAAGGTTCTTGGGAAGCAGATGGGTTCTGGGGAAGTGAATCCCCATTTCAGTGTCTTTGATGAGTGAAGAGCTTCCCATTGACTCCTGAGGCTCTCATGGCTGAAATCAACACTTCCATCACTAATCTCGAATATGCACGTGCTACAGCTCTCCTTGACTCCCCATCCTCATCCTTGTCAAAAAACAAGGGTCAGGATTCGCCCAAGTATGATGCCCGGTTGGCTGATGAGGCTCATAAAGCTGGTTGTGCTGCATTGGCTGCTGGTAAACTTGATGAAGCTTTTCATTCCTTGAATGTTTCACTCTCCAAATGCCCACCGGAGAAAGCCTCTGCTGTTGCCAAGCTTCAGTCTCTTATATCTCTCACTTCTCAGCGACTCCACAAATATTCTGTTTCGAACTAGCCCATATTTGTGTGGTATTTTTTCCTTTTTAAACTTAATTGTTTCAATCAAATTTTATTTAAAAGATTGCATGATGTTGCCTTTTCGAGATGCTTCTGCAATTGTGTAACCAAGTCTGAGGTTGGTAAAATGTATAAGAATGATTTCTATATTTGAATTTGGAACAATTAATTCATCAAGATAACAATAACTCAGTTTATATGTGAACATAAGTTGTAGATTGATAGAAATACAAGGATATTCATGATTCCTTTTTGTGTTATGCCTTTTGAAGAGGTTTTCTGGGATTAAGATAAACAAAGTATTCTGGGTGACTCACCACTTGGTTTTAGATTTTAGATGATGTAGTCGACTACTTTAACCGTGTGCTTCTGGTTAGTGGTCTCGAAGAAAAGAAAGTTGTATCTCAATAGAGATGCTATAGCTAACTAGGTGATGCTTAACTTTCATATCCTATGGAATTTGGTCTGCTTTGTTAATTCTGGTTAAGTTCCTTCTATGTTTGCTTATGCCCCATGTTATCGACTCAAATGTGCTACTTTTACAATGTTCTAGTAAAGTTATATGGCATTGCATACTTGTAGTTGAACTTTTTTTATACCACAATTCTGTTTTTGCTTTCCGTGTCCAAGTTGGAGTAATACATTAAATCATAATCACCGATCTTACTTTTTATTGCAAAATCTTGGGAGAATTATTTATGGAAAGATGCAAGAAACATCGAATATTGAGTTCTAAAATTCAAAGATTATGTTAATACTTCTTTAATTAGCTTTTTTATTATTTATTCATGTTCTAATCTTCTGTTTGCTTCTAAATTAGGTGGAATCAGACAAAATATAGTCATTATTGGTTGCTTTCATCTCTATCATCATTTTGCCTTTTCCATTCATAAAGTTTGTCTGAGGTTGGAGATGACTTGTTTCTTTTTTCCTCTTTATTTTAGCTTGGCAAAAGCAAGTGCTATAGTTGGGCTGTCCTATCATTGCTTGAAATCCTCCACATTTGAGGGGGAAAAGGGGGAGAAATATAGCAACCCCCGCACCATGGAGACGTATAGGTTAACCTGGTTGTATTTCTTAGGCAAATAATTAGTCATAGGAATATGGAACATGATGTTTACTGTACCAGATCAGTTTCTCCTAACTTTTACATTGTAAAATAGATATCAAAAATTTCCAAGCATGCAGATGTTTTTGCCTGATTTGCTTGCTATCTAAATCCCGGACTTATTCTAAAATTAAATTTCGCTTTAGGCTATTTATCTGTGCGGCTTTCGGGAGGTTAATACTTGAAGGAGATGAATCAATGGGCGTTGCCTACCCTGCTAGCTCATTATCAAACCATGGTTCTTAGTTGAAAAGATTTTATAGTTGCCTGTGCCTCTTTAATGACTAGCTTTTGGTAAGCTTTGTCTCTGTTTATCTTTATCCTGCACCTATGGGAACTGGTTCTTTGGAGGCGCCATTAAGATGCTCATGAAATCGCTGCTATTGGTGCTCTGGTGACCAATTTAAACTAATGTGGTTCTAAAATACTTTCAGCACCAATATTCTATTAAAATGGCCCAAAAATATCCTACTACAGTTAATGCCGGTTAACCATTATCATTAATATCCTGCCAAATTCACCAGCTTTGACTGTCTTCGAATGTAACATTTAAGCTTGGTTATTGCAAAATCTTGATACAGTTCTTGAATAGTTACTTCAGAAAACAGATTCCTTTTCAAATTTGTCCCATAGTGACCGCCATTGTTTGGTGGTATGTCTCAGTTTTCACCGTGACTTCAGGTACAAGTAAGTAAGTAACTCCAAAGGAACTAACATTATGGAAAAGTGAAGAAACATGATTCACTTTCAAGGGAGTTTTTTTAATCCTAGATGATGACCATTGGACGGCAATCTCAAGCTGAAAACTGGGATTTTCAGTGTTATTTTTTGATTTGTCTTGGCCCATGTTTTTCTCCTTTTTAACTTGGTCTTTACCCCGAAGTATACAAATATAGAATCCCAGTATTTTCAGTAAGCTGTCAGGCCACTATCAGCTCAATCAGGTCAACTTCAACATCAAAATAATAATAATAATAATAATAATAAACAAGTCTTGTAAGAATCAATTTTCTATAAGAATATACATAATATAAAGTTAGTATTTTGGAGATCAATTTGCCACTTCCAGTTCTCCAAACATGAGCGTCTTTTATCAAGAAGAGCGGTCTCATCATTCTAAGAGGTGCATGTTTCTGGCTTCACTTCTCAAGGAAGCATTTTCCCGTTGCCATAGTTTCAATGGACGGCTTTCGATTTTGGGTCGTGATGATGGATACTCAACGAGTGACATCGAAAATGAATCCGAAGTACCAACTCTTTTCTATTCTTCCTATGTGAATTCCATTGCCCAGGTAAGTGTTCGTTTCATTTGTTTCTCATTGTCTGTGATGTTGTTTACAGGTGGTTGTTTCGGAAATTCGAAGTCGAGCAATGGAGAAGATGAAGAAAAGGCCAAGTCTAATGGCGGAAAGCTTTTCATGGGTGTTATCTCCATCAACGGGAGAGCTTTATATAAGCTCAAAGCATGCCAAACGAAGAGACAATGATGATGAAGACGATGAATTCTTTTCTGTAGGGAGTTGTTTCTCACTGTGTTCGAGTGGCGCAAGCAGGGAAGTATTTATGTCGACCAAGTCGAACTTTTCCCATTGTTCAAGCTTAAACAAGGTTGATTTCCCGGAGATTTGGAAGTTCGATTTGGAGGATTTTCGAAGGCGATCAATCATTAGGGAATTCTGTCATTGTGAAGGGTGGCCATTTGGGCTATGTAGGAAGGCTGTGTTGCTCCCACCTTTGCCTAAATCTCCTTCAGAGTCTTGGTCTTGGCATAAAGGCACGAGATTTGCTAAGACGCCTTACATTTAACCTCAAAATCTACCGTTACCAGTCGAGAATAAAGAGGGTAATCATAGATATAACTTGTCTTACCATCTCTTTTTGATTTTTTAGTCAAATTCTATGGTTAGTGACTGTGTCATGTATAACTTGTGTGTTTACGCTTTGTATTCTAAATTGATCAATTTTAGTTTTTGTATTTTTTTAAAATATTTTAAATTAGATATTGATTCAAATAATACAAAAATAATATAACTAAATTGCACGACTTAAAACTATCGTATCACGTAATAATATTTTAAAATGATATAGCATTAATGATGTATTAAATTATACTCTATCAATACATCAAATATTCACACTTGGATAAGATGATATTACTTTCTTCATGCCCATTCGGAAGTACTGTAAACGCGATCAGCAACTTGGTAGTTATAGATCCTAACAAATGAAGAAGAAACATGGTGAAAAAATTCCCATTAAAAGAAGCATAAAAAAACATGATTTTACACTTTGATTTACCGTGTTGTCGACAAACATAAGCCATTTATTTAGCTGCCAAGCAAACTCCAACTTCCAAGGTTTTCCAGGAGAACACCAACCTGTCTCCTAATATTCATGAACATAATCGAAAACAGACAAAAGAGAAGAAAAGTTCACATGAACTCTCTAAAACACTCTAGTGCTAAGCTCTTTGCTCCACATAAGATCCAGAAAGTCCAGAAGTTCAAAGAACAGTAATCTGCAACGAAAGCATCCGGAAATATTACACAAATAGATTTGCATTATCTATAATAACCAAAATATTTGTGTAGGAAAGCAAAAGCAAATTGGTACCAGCATTTATGCACGCTGCACATGCGAGAATGACTACAATTGACAGATATAATAAATGCAGCAAAGAAAATGAGTGAATGTTGAAAGCATCTATTAGCTTTCCTTGTTTTACCTTATAAGTTTAGGTGGATGAATATGGATGTAAAACAGTCAATGTTATGACAAAGGATTCTCTAAACAGGTTAACCTTTTAGCCTAGGGTTTCAACTTGGTGTTCCAGAACACCAGATGGTTAGGATGTAAAACATCAGGGAAGAACAAATAGCAATTAGTACATAAAGCATAATCTAAGATGACTTTCTTTGATGTTCTCACGTCTTATTCGCCATTTGGAACCTTATGGTTAATAAAAAATCTCTTGTTTCACAAACATGAACTACAAGAAAATGCTACGCAGTGCATGAATGAACCATGTTATACACCCTCGACGTAGATCATGCAGTCACAAGTGAATTTACAAATAGTTGCAAATATTATTGGTACCTTTCCCCACTCAGCACCAAGGTGACCGCATCTCATCTTTAGGTAGATCATCTTTGATCCCAACTCTGTCTCTACCTTCTTTTTCAAGTAGGTTTCATCCGGACCAAATGCATCCAAGTAAGTTGCATATTTTTGAAAAACCGTCTTAAGTGCAGCTGAGAAATCACTTGACAAAGGTTTTACATTCTACAGAAAAAAAAAGGATTCATTTCATCAAATGCCAACAGTTGGTAAAAGTAAGACAGAAGAAAATCATCAGGGACTTATAGACTATAGTAATAACTCTCCACTCATTCCAATGCTGTCATCGAGTTCCATTTTCATGCTGATTAGAATACCACCAAATTCCTCAAAGGCTTCAGCAGCACGGAAGACATTTTTCAAAGCTTCCTGGCCGGCTTTGTCATCCGTATTTTTGGACAGGGCTTTCTTTGCATCCTGTACCACTGAATAGGGAAGCTCATCCCAACTTGCAGCCATTAAGTCCTTAAAAACATTCAGAATCTCATTGTCCTTTATGACAGACATATGAGATACATCATCACTAAAATAGCGCAAGCTTCCCAATCTCAACCCGAAGGATGACCTGGCACCTGCATATTTTCCCTCATAATAAAATGTTTGGAATTTGATAAAAATTGGAACTATTACGAGTTACAACATGCAAAACAATCCACTAGAAGTTCTTAACCGTTGTTCTAAAAGAATTAAAATAATACTAATCGATAAGCACAGTCCTACAGCATACACGCAAAGCACATCAAGAACCCACCAATTTTTATGTTAGAAAAATACCACAATCCTAAGGAGGTTCTAAGAGCTTAAATTCGACCTTTTAAAGAGCAAAGTTCAAAATTTGAACATGGAAACAACCAAAAGGATACAATTTTGAAATCCCATGAAGAAAAGTCGGCCACGAGCTATATTATTAGAAAATACTAATCTAAGTCGATGAACTCAGCGATTACCAAGATAATGAATAACGGGAGAAAAGGGTAATCAAATAATGATCCAAAAGAATAGAAGAGTACCAGAAGGAATGTTTGTTGGCGGATTAGGGGCGGAAGGCGATGAGATGGAGTAGAGATTCCGGAAAACCAAGTGGCGGATGTGATTGGCGGCGGCGGAGGCAGCGAAACGGGAGGATCTGAAACAGGCTGCTCTATAAACGGATCTCAAAACCATTATCTTCTCCATTTTTCTTAGGCAAATTGGCAGAGAGTAAACTAAAGAAAAAGCAGAGTGACCTCACCGGACAAGTGAAAACCAGCTTTAAGTGCGTGTAATTAATAAACCAATTAATTTGGGGCTGGGCTTTGAGCTGCTTATTGGTGTCTCCATTCGCATCAGCCGGAAATGAGCATTTTTGTTAACGCAGTCCATATCAATTAGCCAGATCAGATTGGTTTTGAAACAATTAATTTGGATTTTATAACTTGTGTCATTTTAAGCTTGATCAATGTAAAAGTAGATTTCCAAATTATACTTCAAATTTAATTTAAATATTAAAAAAATTTATCGTTCAAAATATCTACTCTTCGAAATACCTACGTCATAACCACCGCCATTAAACGTTATCGTTTTATATTTTTTGAATTTTTTATTTAAAAAACCCAAATTCTTTGAAATTAAAAAAAATCCTTTATAAAATCATTATTTAACACCTGCCCTTTAAAGCAATGAAACCTAAAACACCGAGCATAGTATAATACATTGAACAGGCTAAACTGCGAAATGGAGAATCCCGAAAGTACAGGAAAAAAAAAACATCAAGGGATGGTGGGTACATAACTAACGAGTAACGAGACAACATGAATCACTTTCAATTTTCACCAAATAACAAAGTTAGCAGTGCGCTTCAACAAGCTATGAAACCAATGTTCCTGAATGTGAAAACAGTATACAGACGCTAAAGAGTTCAGAACACCACCGTGTCCAGCATAGTTCCTAAAGTCTGAACTATGTTTGAGGACATCAAGTTTGAGACATGTTCCTCCAAATGCTTCTTCGCATCTTGTCGTCCAACATTTGCAATTGCCAGCTTCTCAGGAGATAATTCGTCCTCCTCCTGTACTGCCTTATTGTATTTTATAGCTAAATTCAGCATTTCCTGCACAATATCAAAACAAACATGCATCATTACTTTGCCTTACGGAAAATAAGGAAATTAATTTATTTGGCATTCATTTCAACTCTTTAAGCAACGTTATAAAAGCAAGGATATTCATAAAGTGCTCATGGCAAGATAAGTTATCATTAACTAATGTTATTCTCCTATTTCCCGCTGAGGATGCCTCACATCAGCGAGGGACGAAAAGCATGCATATATGATAAACGGTCAATAATTAAACAGCATAGACTAGGATGATAAAGTCCATTCATTCACCTGAACAGTCTGCTCATTAGTTTTGGAATGGGTATCAAATCGTCTAAGTGTTAATCCATCCGTCCACTTCTTCTTATGAAGATTCAGAAGCATCTTCTCCTCGAGCTCATTCTTCCTGTAGTTAATGGCTATGGAGTAATAATGTCTATTTAGACCATGGATTAATGCCTGCAACGTAAATGATGAGATGAAATCATTTCCCGTATAAAAGAAGCTGTACAATAGCAGCCAGACATATTCTTTTGGCACTCACTTGAATAGATGGCTTATTAAGATGCCCAAGATTAGATGTTGTCTGCCGTGGTTCTTGGCCAAGCATCATGGTTTGGGGATTGATCAAACGGAATGCATCAATCACCACCTTCCCTTTAACACTCTGGATTGGGTCCACCACCACTGCTACAGCCCTTTGATTCAAAGCTTCAAAACTCTGCAAACAATGAAAGTTGTTAAACTTCAAAGGATCAGACTTTGACACGTTCTTTATGTCTTTCTGAAGATCAAAGCTTCAATCTAGGAAGGGGATAGAGGGAGTTCACAAAACTACAAATCACAATCAATATGCTGCAGTGTCCAAAATGATACCTTTCGTCTCCTATCCATTACATGGCAGGAATCACTGTTCCCTAAAGTTATCAATTAAGGACAGGATAGTCTAAGAGAACCACCCGCGCCCTCTAACACAGGGAAGAAAGAACCAAAAAGTTTAGGTATAACAATCTAATGAAACAAAGGCTTAACTGAAAAATAAGTGCTCAAAGTCTCAAACTATACCACTTTTCTTCTCTTTTTTTTGCCTAAAGTGCCTATATTTTTTTTGTCAAAGTAGATGTCTAACGTTCCACTCCATTACTATTTTAAGATTGACCCGTCAATGCCTGTACAACAAATCTGTCATCCAATGAACGCACGCCAGGTGGCCTGATTTTTTAATTTCCGTTATTTAAAAAAACTTAAAATCATTAATTTTCTCAAAAAACCTCCTAAAATCCCTAAATTCTCAAAACCCCTAAATCTCTAATCTCCAATCCCTAAATCCTATCAATCACCGCCGAAATCAAACACCACTGCCACCCCTTCCATGACCGGTGCAAGTCGAAAGACGATCAATGGTGCAAAGGGGAAAAAGAAAAAGGGCAGGGGGCGAAGATTTTCAATTTTAGGAGGGTTGAGTGGTCCACAATGGGCGAAAGGGGTTATGGAAACGGGGTGAATGATTCAACGGAATAGGGGTGCGCTGGTAGTGAGGTGTGGCGAAGGGGTTGGCTGAAAGGTGTTTCCGAGGGAGGGGAAAGAGACAGCTGAAAGGGGGAAGGGATTAGGGTTTTTTAGAAAATACTAGAGGGTTTTGTAAGTAATTACAGATTTTACGGGTTTTTTTTAGAAATTAGGAATTTTGGGTTTTCAAATAGAAGATTAAAATAAAATAAAAACCAGGCTACATGTCAAGCAATGATTGGGTGACAGATTTTTTAATGGATATTGACGGTACGTTAGTCACCGACTTTGATAAAAAAAATCTTCAGGCATATAAAGCAAAAGAAAATAAAAAATATAGTTTTGACACTTATTTTCCAGTTAAGCCTAAAACACAGTACTATCAGGCAACTCAATATAAGAGCCAATAAGTTGAATGCTTTCATTTCTTTGCAAAAATGTAATAAATGATCAATGACCTGCATGCTAACACCAACTAATGTTATTAAAGCTCATATTCTGACAAAAAAAGTCTTCTAAGCAACAGTAACATGGCAAGTTAACTACTATGTGTATGATGCATCACCACGCAAAAAGTTTAAAACCTAACCTGCTGTGTGTTAATGTCAACACCAGAAAGCCAGCAGCCAAATCCAGGATGTGAATGATACCAACCCACCACCATCTCCGGCCTGCAATGCCAAGCATGAAGGTCAGCTCGATCAAGAGAAACAAGTCATCAAATCTTTGAGTTATTTCCAACAATTATTAGTTAATATGAATGGAACTAGAGAGTAACAAATACCTTCCTGTTTGTTTGAGCATATCAAGCATATTTGTTTGAAAAACATGATCCACAGCTTCAACACTGACACCAGTACCACTCTGTGGCATTGCAAAGACATCCACAACACGCACGGTATACTCGTCAACAAACTCTCCCAGCATCAAACCCATAACTTCCATGGGAACCCCGGCTCTTCCTATAAAGTTTTCACAACAACCAAGCACAGAAACAGAATCACAACCACCACCAAGTATAGATTAAATTCAGCCTAAAATTGAAATCGAAATAGCTCATATTTCTTACAGGAAAGTAAACTGAAGGAAGATCAGCAATTAAAATTTTGATTTAACGAACTAAACCCTAAAGTGCAAAACGAAAATAGGATAAGCCCATCGATTATTTCAATCAAATTCTGAAACAAAAATATAAAAACCGAAGACACCCTAATCACCTATGCAAGTAAAAGTAAAACAAAAAAGAAAAACGTTGTGAGCAGAAATTCAGAGAGAGAGAGAGAGAAGAGGTTACCGTGCTTGAGCATTTTGAGAAGGGCCAGAGAGGAGATGTAGACTTGCTCCGACGAATCGAGAGTAGGCGAGTCCGGAGGTGGATGACCCAACGCGCCACCAGCACCGGCGAACATCCTCTGCAATCTCTCCATGCCAGACATGTTGATGGGAGTTTCGAGAACTTTTCTTTGGCAAGAAAAAAAATGAAATGAGGACTTTTTTTGTTCTGATTTTGAACTCTATTGAATCCTCTTGGGCTGTGAAAGGCCATATATATATATATAACACAGATCATGTCGGGCCCGAACAAATTCAAGCAATAGCCAGTGGACTTTTCTGAGCATAAAGATTAAAGAGGCTCTCTCATCTTGGATTAGCAATGATTTTTTCCCCTAATTTCTGAAAGTTTATGACTTCTTTTCTGCTTAACTTCAACACAGATTTTTAAGCTTTTATATTTTGTTGTATCTTTCGGATCTGATAGTAGATCTTCAACCGCTGCCGGCCGTCTTCTTTTTGCTATTGTTGTTTGAGAAAATAACCTCAGTGACCAAAAATCCCATATAATATACGATTTTAACCAACTTTTTCCGGATTTGCCAAAATGACCAATAAAATCGCAATGCGATCGCTAATTCGCAACGCGATCTCCATTATCGCAAATTCGCGTTGCATTTTCGCAATGCGATAGTTGAAAATCGCGTTGCGATGGTCTACAGTATCGTTGCGATTTTCCCAATTCGCAATGCGAATAAGTAAATCGCAACGCGAATTGGGAAAATCACAATGCGAATAAGTAAATCGCAACGCGAATTGGGAAAATCGCAACGAGATACTTACTTTCGCAACGCGATACTGACTTTCGCAACGCGATTTACATAGCGCCATTCGTATTAACGCGTATTTTTTTTTTCAAATTCCAAACACGTATTTTTTTCTTAATAAATCGGAAAATGAACCGTCCACAGTAATCGCAACTCATAACCTCAAACCCAAAAACACAACACTCAGTCCCATCTCCATCTCTCACTCTCTACGGCGAAATCCGTACCCATCTCCGAAGATTTCCGTCCCCATCGCCGGCGAAATCCCTCACAACCATTCACAGTAAAAAATCCCTCACAATCATTCAGAAATGGAAAATCAACCTCCGAGGGTTAGTTTTTTTATTTTTATTTTGAAATTTTTGCATTATTTTAGGTTTTTCATATTGAGATTGATGATAAGTTTACTGGTAATTTCAATAATAGATTAACCATTTCACTTAGATTTCTTATTAAATTCATTCGATTGCTGCCAATACTGCTAAACTGTTTAGCCTGTGAAGTTAGTATTTGTCTTTGCTTTGTCTTTTGGTTGAAGTAATG